ACCCCACTGTACAGAGCGGTTGTGTGGAAATGCAGCGGAGCGAGGGAGGAAAATGCAAGGTGGGAGGAGAGGAGAGGAGAGGAGAGGAGAGAGGAATGTTGGCAAACGTAGGAGAGGAACCAAAAGCCAAACAGCAGAAATGAGTTAGTAGAGGGGCGTTCGCGAGAGACGTTGCATCAGGTGTGGTTGGAAGGCAGAGTGGGACTGGCAGTGAGTTTGGAGGTTTAAGCCGGCTGTGGGAAATGAAGCTGGCTCTAAAGTGCACAGCGTGATCCAAAAGTATGTCGGCAACAGAGCATCTTCGGATGTCTCGGCTCCTGAGTATTATTGCTTTGGACAAGGCGGCAATCGGGCACAGTCACACGTGCACCAATATCTGCCGAAGCAATATTGTTGCTGAACGTGGGCGGATGATCTGTGGGGTCAACGCAAGCGGCAACTTCCGGTTATAAATAAAAATTAAAAAAGAGCAAAAAGGGACATTAATCACTTTGGCTGGATGTTCTAAGAGGAGGCCATTTCTATGTCTACCATTGCCAATGCAAACTTTTAAGGGGGCAAACCTCCCAGACAAACCAACCCACCTCTGGCAAGCAGCTGCTAACTGAGCAGTTCAGTACGTTGAGTAGCGAGCGAGAATGAAATGTAACAATCTAATGCTGTTTCCAGACACTGCATTGCTTTTGCCAGATGAGTTGAAAATAAATTCTGCTCATATTCTAGAGCCAGCGAAGCATTAAAAGGGGCATGGTGGGATTAGCAAGATAGCTAGCTTACTAGAGGACAGCTAGCAAGCAAATCTCGCTATGTTACGCTGGAGGAATAACATTTAATAACAAGTGGCATTTTCCTATTGGTTTCATTAACAAGGACAAAATAAAAGTATTTATTACCACTCATTGTTTAGCTCCGCTGTCAAGTCTTCCGAGTCTTTGGCGCTCAGACTCTATAAGGAGATTTGTATTTGATGGATTTGAGCAACAGCAAGATAAACCCCCCTGTGGCCACCGGACATGGTGGTGTTTGTTGATGAGGCTGCTCAAATGATGACTGGGCGGAGATTGGGAGGTGGAGGGTTGCAAAACGATGGTAGGGAGACAACCATATTTAAAAAAGGCAGAACCAGAAGTTTCGTCGTTCTTGTAGGATATTAGAAATAAACGGACGACACGGTTCATAAATAAAATACATTGAGTGTAAACCAGAATACAGCCATGATTCTGAAACTGTGTAATCCATAAAGTAATGACAATATTGTAAAACCACTGTAATTCTGCAACTGTAATAGAATAATCCCAATGTACAGATATGATTGTATTTAATGTAATGTAATCAACTGGAATGCATGGATGTAATACTTGCACAACAACTGATATTGACTGAGGGTCATTCGAAATCCGAGTTACAATGAACTCACCAGAAGACCACTCCCAGAGGTGTGGACACTGACTTTCCCACCTTTAAGCATTGTTATAAATACCTGTAGGAACTATTGTTCTCGAGTTCGCTGGTGGAGGCAACAGACGGGCACTAGGGATGGTCAATGGACGGCCCTGTGGCCTGTTGGTTGCAAAGACCAGCGGCTCCTCACCTGACATGTTCTTTTTTACCACAACACCATCTCATTTATTAAATACATTTGATTTTAACCTTTAGATCTGCGATGCCCTTTGTCCGTCCGGCGTTTCTTCATTTTTGAACACAACATTCTCTTTGGATGGAGAGTATTAGCTGATCTAATCAGCTGATGTCCTGATTGACAACTCCGAACAACGACTACGAGGAAATAATGAGCGTGTGAAATAAGCTCCAGGCGAAGACATGAGCAGTCTTTCTGTCTGAACTTGGGCTATTACTTCATTTAAATTTCACACATTTAATTTTAAAAACACCATTGATGCTCTATTAACAACCTCAGCAGCACACATCTACATTAATCTTCTGCCTGAAACTCCTGCAGCATTGATGCAAAGGTAACATCTGCTGTGAACCGAGTTCATTCTGAAACTTTTGAAATGAACCAAATACCAAAGGGAGAGAGGGAGGTATGATATATGACATAATTAGAAGAGTACTTTTCTTAATTACACATTACAAAAGATGTATAGGAATAAAGTTAAACATGACAAAGCCCAAATCATAAACACGGTTGGGTAAGACAACTGTGTATAATCTATGATTTTGCGTTATTTATCATCATCTTACTTTTAAATTGTGTGCCGTTGTAGTCAGACTTAATTAAACATTCTTTTCATAAAAAATGTCCACCTTTATATTTATACAAAAGTTGAATCCATGCTGTTGTAATAAGGACACGGTGTGCTGCTTGAGCAAGATAAACACTCATAACTAGGCCAATCTCTGCTGCATTTACAGTATGTGAGTTGGAGAGAGCTACGGCGTCTCTCCAACACGCCCCTCTCTGGGTGGATTTCTTTTTCACTTTTTTCCCCATCCATTTTGTCTTCAAATAACCACTCTCTTGAGTGTAAATCTTATAGCAAGCACAATCATCATCCATCCAGCAAACCCGCCATCTTTCCAATATCTCTTCATCATTTAACTGATGCATCCACCGATCAATCTGTTCATCTTCATCTGTTGGAAAAACTGCTATTGCAGTTCTACCTTAGTACAACAGAGAGTCTGTGCGTGGATGTTTATAATCTTGTGGTGCTAAAGATGAATCGTCCTCCATCCAAGGTGGACTAACAGCACCTGGGTTTTTGTTCTGGTTTCCCCGAAGCCCCCCCCCCCCCCCCACCCCACCGTTTCAGCATGTTTATCTTCCAACTACATATTCCTGCTCCGAAGATGAAAACCTTTGAGTAAACTTGGCACATGACTTGTATGTGTGTCAACTCTGTCTCCTGTTTGCAAACATTAAATATCCTGTTGATGATTTGACACCGGTGCCGAGTGAGAATTTTTCTAACACGATCCATTCATCCAACAGTCTGCCCCTTCTGCCTGCTTATCTTCTCCTCTGACCTGATTAAACCCCTCAAACCAGTCTGGTCTGCGGATTTTATCAGGCAGCTCAGGGGTGTTGCCTTGGGTACGTGTGTGTCTGTCTGGGTGTGTGTGTGTGTGTGTGCGTGGTCCAGGCATTGTAAAACGGCCTGCAAGTTGTAGAGTTATGTAACAAAGCTTTTATTGCATGTATGCTGCTGTCAGCTCTGTTGCTCAACTCACACGGCCAGATTTCACGTGTGTGCAACTCTGCACGCACAATGAGTGTGTGCATGTGTCTATTTTTAAGCAGGAATCCATATGGTGCGCGGCGTCTCATTAACAGTGACTGCCCTCGGCCTTAGAGACTCAAAGTGCATTGATGGCATTGATTTCAAGTACAGGGTATATCTGATGGTTCAAAGTAGTATTCTACAACTTAAAGATGTTTACATATTGGAATTATGAACTAAAGATTTATTACAATAAATATTGTAACCTTTAATTTATAGTAACATTAAAAAGGTTATGGATATGAACCTAGATTATAGCGGCAAACACGTAATTTGGCAAAATTGTCAGATTTATAATACGAGACATATTAGTAAAAAAATTATATATATTTGGCAATCCTACTTGTTTGGGTTGTATTTGTGGTTCTGCTTGCGTTATGGCTCTCAGGATGTGCTGAACTCTCAAAAAAACACAAAAACATTCTACAGCCACTAGATGGACTGGCACAAAACTTTAACCGGTTTCATCTATAGTTCATTTTTAGATTAGGTTAGATTTAGTATCCACCTTGGTGGTGATTAGTCTTTGGCTTCTCCCAAGAACCACCTGTTCTCCCAATTCGTCTCTGCGGCATCTGTTTGGGACACACCAGGCTGTCAAATAACGACTATATAAACGCCTCCATGTCAGCATAAGGGGGTTGGAGCCCTTGACGTATCAGTGGAGGGAGATGGAGGTTGGGGTGAATGGTTAACCAAACTGTTCATGTACCATGCAAAACCAAGTCACCATGCCTATTTTTATTATAAAACAAACTTATTTTCCCAAATGTTTGTTGCAAGTAATTTTCAACTAAAGTAAATCTACCATGGACATTTATTCTGGAAAGATAATGAGGATTTTCTTTGAAGGCGGAAGCTGACACGCTGTGCCTGTCACGTATTGATTACAAAAATACAAGATTTGGGCTAATTAGCAAATATAATCATGCTAATGCTGTGAGCTAAGAAGGCCAACCCTATACTAGCTTGGCATTAGCATGTTGGCATGGGATATTTGCATTTGGCCCAAAGAGCAACTAATGGTTGTGGACTCCATTTAAAACCCCAAGTTACTGGTTTGGAGTGAAAGAATATTGGAATATTAGCTTTCAACACTCTCACTGGATTGTGAACGTTCTGTGTGGTGTATTTGATAGATATTTTACAGCAGACAGAAGTAATTAAAGTGGCATGGTACATCTAAGTGTGGAAATGTGGAGGGTGAAGATATAGATTTGATGACTCAGCCCTCTACCCATCCTTGTTTTCTAAAAAACCTTGTTTTTCTTGGGACTTGGGAGTTACTTGGGAGCTGTTGTCCTTATCTGTCCCTCCAACTTTTTATTCATCCCTTAAGACTGCATGGCCTGAATTGCCTCCAAATACACAGAGTGTCCTCATGACGCTGAGGGGTGAGGATGAAGAGGACAAAAAGACAGAGAGAGGAGACAGAGGTAGAACATTAGAGTCATTGTCATAGACGGTCCTGTTGCAACGCCCTAACTCTGGATGAGTGTGTGTGTCGACGAGGCACAGAAGAAGAAAGCGTGACCGGAGGCGACTTTTGGAAAACCACCTCCTATTGCACATCTGTCATCACCATGTCAATCATTCTCAAGTAAGGAGTCATTTTCACAGATGGCAATCGTCTGTCAATCCCAAATAACGGATCTCGACAGGTGCTGGTTGGTTCACACGTCCCCACATACACACATTTCAACCCACTCCCAAAATGCCCACAATGCATCTGCCTGTGTGTCTCGTCCCTCTTACCTCCATCCGAGTACGTTTCTGTTCCGTATCCGTCCTGCAGTCCGTTGTTCCAGGTCCCCTCGTACTTCCCACTCGTGCCCGTGCTCTCCCGCACGCCGTATCTTCCCTTAAAGCCGTGCGTCCACTCGCCCTTATATACCCAGCGGCCCTTGTTCTCGATGCCCACGCCGTGTCTCTTGCCCTGAGCCCAGGTGCCCTGGTAGGTGTTTCCGCTGGGCCAGGTGTAGACGCCCAGCAGCTCAAAGCCGTGGGCCCAGGAGCCGCAGTACTCGCCCTGGCCCTTGGGTCCCGTGCAGATCCCGTGGCCGTGCGCCTTGCCCTCCTCCCACCCACCGCAGTATGACCCCCCATCGTCAAAGTTGAACCTGCCGCCAGTGGACATGCATGAAACAGGTCTTGGCAATTCCACTGAAGCCTCGACAAAAAGAAGAAGAAAAGAAAAAGCAAAGGTAGGGAAAGAGCAGAAGGACAGGTCGGTAAGGTCAGAGGTGGGGAGGCGGTGGAGTAGGAGAGAGTGGGAGGGAGAGGGAGAGAACTCCCATGCAAATAGAGCAGCGTTATCCCTTGTTGTCGGTCGTTTTTGGAGAAAAGGGAGGATGAACAAGCTGAGCAACAGATACGTGTCCCCTTCGCGGGGGTGTCAGTGGTCTTCTTGAGCAGTGGGAAAGGCCGACTGTGTTCACACCATCGTCTCGGTGGGCTCCTTGTGGGATCGGCTAGCACTTTCCAGCTTCTCGGTGACAGATGGGGGGGAGAGAGGGGGAGAGTGGACCCAGAGCTGCCATTATCCTTCCTCAGCAGGGTTTTAAACCATGGGGCAGCTTCACCAGCCGGGCCATCGCCCTGCACGGTCTACGACAACTCTTCCTCCTGCTTAAACGCTTAGTGCCCCCGCCCCTTCGGCCGCCTCCTACCTGATGATGCCTCCGCCTCTCTGAGGTATAGAGCCGAGAAGTCTCCCGGCCCTTCAAGCCTCCGAGCCTCCAGCATAGAAGCCACCCTTAAAGGCCTTCTGATCAGCACCAATGCCCAAATTGGAGGCGTGACATGTGCGATGAAGAAAGACAGAAAAAAAGTGTTTCTTTTTCTTCAATCCCTGTCCAGATGATCCGGCAAAAAACTACCATTTAAAAGTCAGACTTTGTCGCTCACTTTACACACACACACACATACGCACACACTCGCACAGTGGGGGACCACACACATGCATAAAGTGAGGGAGAGACAGCAAATGGAGACAACACACAAGGTAATCTGCTTGTCTTTTTTCTGTCCTGTGGTGCTGGAGAGCAGCAATGCAGTCTCCTGCCTCATCCACACACACACACACACACAGACACAGACACACCAACACACTCACTGTCTCCGACAGCAAGTGCGCACACACAGACAATCAAAATAAACAACTGAATTGATTAATTTCTCCTCCTCTAATCCCTCTCTCTCTGTCTGCGGGTCTTTAATCCACTGCGTCCATAAGTGGTTTATCCTCTGCGTGGTTTGCCTTCAGGTTGACCCGCTTGATGAAGCACCATCCATCTATATGATCCAGTTACCGCTGTGTTCTGTCCTCTTCAGCATCTCCTGCTAGTCTCCATGTTTCCCTACGGAGCGCCGGCTGACGCACAGCCTGCCTTCCTGCCTGCTGTCTTGGTCTTACAATCTCCTCTCCTCCAATGGCTGAATCTCTGTACCTCTCTCTCTCTCTCTCTCTGCTGATCTGGGTGTGTGTCTCTCTCCCTCAGATCTCTGCTCATTAAAGAGGGCTGTTCCAATGCAGCCAACCAATCCACTCCTCCTCCTCCTCCTCTTCCCCATGCTCAATAGCACGCTCCAGCTCTTAAAGAGACACACACACACACACACGCGCTTCCTCCCTCACCTGTAGCTTTTGAGCATTTACTCCCCCTTTGTCTCTGTCTTTCTGCATTGTAGGATATTAGAAACTGACGACCCGGTTCATAAAATTAATAAAATGCATATAGTGCACACCAGAATACAGCAAAATGTATTGAACAAACTCAACTTCCAATATCCATGCTATGACAGCCCATTGACTCCTGCCTTGTCATCTAACTCTTGAGCCCAGGGGTATTTCTAAATTGTTGAACGATACCTTTAAAAGAGCAACGTAACCATTAACTATACTGGTCGCAATATTGACGCAGGTACTGTTCTCAACAAGTGAGTTAGTTTGGGAGTCCTGAGGGTTTCTAAAATCTGTGGACAGATTTAGTCCCTACAATAATGATGCAGCTGTGCAAGATGCGGTCACGATACAGATGTGCAAAAAGGAAGGTTGAGCACGAAGAGGGTTCTGGTCTGAGCAAGGGGATCTAAAATAGAGGTTAGGAAGGGAAGAAGGGATCATTGGACTACCTCAATCCATACCCCGCACGCCAATTTGTTCATTTATATTTGCGTGGTGGCCTCTAGTTTCATTGTACTATCAATTTCAATCTGGAGGGTCATTTGCAAAAGCAGGGCGAGTCATTTTCCAGACAGAATGAAATCATTCTGACCTGGTTTTGAGAGACGAATCCTCCAACAAAATCTGTGACATCACTTTGTACTCCACGCCCCTCAAGGACAAGGTAAGGCGAAATTGTCCAGCGATGCAACTGCAATTCACCTTGCATTATCTCCGACTTCCCTCAAGTATTTGAGATCAATCCATGTCCTCTTTAACCCTCAGATATATAAGCCATGTCATGCTAGCCATGTTAGCACTCCGAGCAAGAACTTTGTTTTTAAAAATACAAAACGCATAGCATGAAAGATGGAGGCCCAGGAGGACAAATGCCGTCTCGCTGTCACTGTTTTCGGTGTAAGATAGATGATGCTTTGGCTTGTAGACGACCAAACAGTTGTGGGCAGAGAGTATTGATTTAAAGAAAGTGCCTCTGTTCTGGTAGGATGAATAAAACATGTCTGGAGCAGAACAAGTCAATGTGACTGCACATAGTTTTGGCTTGATGTTCCCAAGTTTTTGTGCTTTAAGTATGCTCATTTTCTCTTTCGTGAAACAGTATTCCTGTTACACTACACAATGCACAAAGCATATTGTGTATTTTTGCTTCTGAAAATTCTTGCATAACTTGGGTAACAGCTAATTATAATTTTCCTAATGAAAGTAAAAGCTTTGGTTTAAAAGGTATTTAGTTTGGTTGGTTGTATGGAGCGGTCAGCCTCAGATTCATTTTATACCTTTAGTTCAAATGCTTTGGGGCATCTGATTGTAATCGGATATTGCCTGACCACGTAAAAGTACAGTAAATGGTACAAAGGCAAGCCTAGAAGCCCAGAGGACAGACTGTGTCCCAGTTGGCAAACCGGAAGCGCAGGCAGTCAGGGATGCATTGGGACCATATTAAACATAGTTGTAGACGGATTCTCAGTCCTATAACTATGCAGGGAGGCATATTTAATGCTAGGGCTGTCTACACACCTCAACAAGAAGTTGACATAGTCATCATTGGTTTGTAGACCACCATTGTGAAGCTTTGAGTTTGGCATTTTGTCAGTCGCCATGTTGGCTCTTGGTAACCAGAAGTTACAAGTAGATGGAGCTAAATACACGCTACATTTTAGGTAACTCAACAGTTTACAGTTAACTTTGATGAACTGAAAACACACCGTGAAGGTGTTGCTTTCTGCTTGCGACTCGCCGACTGGAAGACTCAAAGGTGGCATCCTGTCGATCACGAAGTAGCCATGCACTAAAGCAAACTCACAGGCTCTAAAGGGGACAACAATTCACCAAATGAACACCATTCTGTATTGAAGACTTGGAACTAGGGATTGACACTATGAACTCATTTCTACAATCTTCACTGTGGGACTAAAATGGTTCGATAGCCAAAGAACCCAGATTATCTCTCATCTTTTTTCCAACATATAACAGCATAACCCACCCAAGCGTTAATAGGCAAACCTTCAGGTCAGGCACACAAAAAGCTGCTTCACTGTTTGCTACTTAGACTCTCTCCAAATATGTCGACCCTTACAGTTCAAAGTCGTCGCGCGCTACAAGTCAACGGCATAAACCTTTACTTTTCATTTCAGTTGAACGCCTTCGATTCAAAGTTGTGCTTCGTTTCAGGTGTCGATGTCGGCAAAAAGAGAAGCAGGGGACGCGTTAATAAAACTGCGTATTTACAGATGGCATCAACATATTGGGCCAAAAGGAAATGCCTTCCTGACTTGAATATGCATTTAAATAACGCATTATTCTCTTTTGTTGGTACTCATAGTTTGGTTTACTTGACTCGTTTTTGAAGTGCTGTGATTTTTGTGATCAGTGTGGACAGAAAGGAAACTGCAGATTATGCAAATGAGCCTAAAATTGCTTAAGAATCAACCCCCCCGTCTGTCCCCTGTCCACTGCTACCTCCCCGACTGTCCTCTTACCCTCCCCCTCTTAAACGTCCCTCTCAGCCGCCCCGGTCCCCTGGCTAAACCAATTCCTGCCCAGATTACAGTAATAAAATCACAGTAAGGCCGGGGATTAAGGTTTAGCCCTCTAAACACTGATAGCAGAGGTGAGGGAGGGAGGTGGGAGGAGAGAGAGAGAGAGAAGGAAACCGGGTGAGAGAGGACGGAAGTAACGATGGGCAGTTACTGTGATTTCCTGACCACAACGGAGGGATAAGGATTTAATCCTTCTGTTGTCCTCGGGTCAAAATGATCCGCCACTATGTTTAAAAAAAAAAAAAAAAAATCCCCTAAATGATATTTTTTTTAACTTGAAACATTTCCTAAATTGGCCCCAAGAGTAGAAAAAGTGAAATGTTTCTTTTATTCACATTTCCATGTAAACTGTACAAAAAAAGGTACAAAGGTGGTCTTCCCCATGAGGCAAATAGAGTTGAAATCAAGGTCACATTGATATTTACACACCACAGAATGTTACAATGTTTTAGTTGTGTCTCAGATCAATCATAGCAGAAGTAACCAAGACATATCAGGTGGTCTTCTGTTGTGCCTCTGATCAGTCTCAGATGAATTAATAGTAAACGTGAACAAGACAGTAACGGACGTAAACAACACAAGATAGGTGGCGTTCTCGCAGAATGCAGAGCTCTTTTTCTGTGGATTTCCAGAGGTTATAAAAGCGCTGCAGGTGACAGGACCCCGAATTCTCTCTGTGCTGAAGCCATGAGTGTGCGTTAGAACGTTGAAGAGGCTCTAGAGCTGATTTTTGTACAGCAAGACAACTCTGATTCAGAAGAAGATGTATCAGAAGAATAAGATGGGGAAGAATACAATCCAGAGCATGATGAATCATCCTCAGAAGCAGAAAACCCTGAAGCTGAAAGACTTCTTTCAAAAAATGGCAAAATAACATGGTCGTCAGCAGCATATGATCAACACGGCAGGCATGCCGAACAAAACGTCTATACAAATAAAGTGAAGAGGGAAAACTCAGGTAGTCACACATTTTGTGATGAATGACAAGTTGTTTCTTCAAGCAAGATGAAAATTTGGTGTTTAAAATTCAAGCTGCTTATATGGGCACGGGGTGTATACAGGAAATGAGGACAACAGGAGGGTTAAAAAGGTTAGCAAGACGAGCGTCTGCACACACAACGCCAGGACATCTTCTGTACAGAGTGAAGGTGAGCTGACGAGACGTAATGTATCTATTACATTGTTCATTCTGACCACATGACATCCATTGTAGTCTGTCCAGAGTGGGATCCCTCCTCTGATGTTCTCACTGAGGTTTCTTCCCTTTTTTCCCCCATGGAAGGGTTTACATTTTTTTTGGGGGGGGGGGTTTCAGTTTCGGGACAGCGGATGTTTCATGTGTACAGAAATCTGAGACAGTTTGTAATTTGCGATTTGGGGCTATACAAAATAAAATGAATTGAAATGAGTTTCATATTTAACTCATTTAACTTACGTGTGTCACAATGTTGAACGGAAGGCTCCTTTCCTCATGTAAGCAAAGTGCAATGTCGAGGGAAACGCGTTCCGGTCGTTAGTTTATGACATATCACAAATGTATCCCTTTTCATAGTGCACAGAATTCCCCGTAGGGAGGTGGGTCAAACAAATACAGGACAATCAGCCAGGAGACCGCGGTTTGTTTCCTCTATTAAACCAATTGTCTAACATTTAAGACAAAAACATTTACTTTTTCAAAACTAGACCAGCGACTAAAGCTTACTGGGAGGAACTTTTAACTTGTTATGAAAACCAGTGGTGGCTGACCCAGCTCAACTTCAGCACCCCTCCCTGGGCTGAAAAAGAAATAGTCAATATACAAATTGTCGATATTTGTGTTTAATATGGAACGCAACCAGTAACATTTGTTAAAACAGGAAAATGAAGAAATGGCCCAATTGCTGATTAAAGAGTAAATGTGTGACATACAATTCGGCCAATCAGCGCACAGCCGAAGCTTCCAGGCCGGCACGCTTTTTAAAACAATGGGGACATGAAACTGCCGCCTATATATTTTGCAATATTATACAGAATAATGTAGTGTACCGAATTGGGTGTGAGGGTGTCAAAAATAAAAGGATGCTGTGAAGAAGTGTTTTGTTTTCTATAATGCTGCGATTGTACCTGTTTAACTGTCTCTCTCATTCAGTTGCAAAACGTAGTTTGCCACAGTAGCCTTTCCTCCTGATGTCGCAAAAGAAACGGCAGGGTGAAGGACTCATCGACAGCAGAAAATGAAATGTACAGTTGCAGTTAAAGATCCTTTTATGAATACTTGTGAAATCAAAGTTTAGGATTTACAGCAGCATGTGTGTGTTCCTCAGGCTCCAATGGTTGCATTCATCTGTGTGAATTATGGACAATCTGGCAGCTGAAAGGGTAGAATTGAAAAAAAAAAAAAAGATCAGATCATGTTGCTAAACGTTAGTTCAAATGTTTCTTTCCATTTAACCAGTCGAGTATAATGCGCTGTTATCCTCGGAATAGAACCCCGTAGGATCACAATGACTGAAACAACAAGCAAAAAAAAATGTGTAAGAAATCTTATCCAAGATGTCCCAGCAGCCAGAGGGGCTGCAGTTCTACACACTTAATCAATACCCAGCCTGACTGAGTTAAGACAAGCTGGAAACATCCTCCACATCCAAGATTTCTCTCGACTAACGACTGACGTATCTCTGACGATTGCGCGCTACGCGCACCCGCCCCCAGTCAGAAACGCACCCCAAAAACGCTCCCCTCTTTAGTTATTTATAAAATCTTTTCTTGTCCCAGAGTTAAAATAAAAAAAGGGTAAGGAGGGAAAAGGGGAGGGGGGGTGAAGAAGGAGGGAGAGAGAACGAGAGGGAGGGAGGCAGCCTCATTCGCATCCATCTCTCCCTCTCTTCTATTATTCATCAGCCTCCTCTCATCCCTCGCTCAAACTGCTGATGGGAGGGTAAAATAGGTCAGGGGGATAGGGTGGTGCGCGCAACAGTGACTGATGTCTTCCCCGGCAACGCGTCGTCCCCCCCCTTCCCAGCATTCCCTGTCTCCCTTTTCCTCCCCTGCTGCCGCCCTCTCATCTTCACCCGCTCGCTCCATCTCCTCAGCTCACCTGGCTCTCTCTTCCTGGTCCTCCCCCCTTTTTTTGTGACGGAGGAGTAAAACTCAGACAAGCGGCACGCGAGGGGCTCGTCAAACCAGCGTATCGACACTACAAACCAGCTGTCTCGTAAGGAACTTGACTACTTGGCTGGAAAGATGGAAAAAAGGAGTCAGGGACAGAAATACAGCGTCATGGTTTCATTCTAGCTTCACTGCTTTGGGCTTCTTTTTCTGTGCTTTATTATTATTATTAAAGTAAAATGGCATCTTACCTGTTAATTAGTGTGTTTCTAACACACGTGGGTTGGCTTGAATTACCCGATAGATAAATGTGTGGATATTTTGGATTATTTTCAAACATTTTGGGGGAATTTAGCATTGATGAAAACCCGATTTTCAGTTACATCTTCACTTTGAAAAAACAATTGTTGAAGTTGTCCTGAAACTGAAAAGATCATGTTTATTATAAATGGTGTAATAGTGTTGTCTTCAAGAGAAACGTGGGAACAAAGTTCATCCTCGTGGAACCTTGAAGCTGCACTAATCAATTTTATCACACAAACAACGAACTAATGAATAATTTTTTTTTAAACGTGCGGTTCGTCAATTGCGGCCAAAGTTAGCGACTGACTGGTTGACACACAAACTGAACCAAAAGACGGGTGAACACTGGAAACCCGAGTGGAAATGAGTTTTAATGTGGCTCTGGATCTGCATGGTATGTGAAGAGCGAGTTGTCCACGTTATGTTTACAGCCAGTTGTGAAGTCGAAGTGATCACGGTCCCCAGATGATTCATTGTACTCACGTTGATCATCACAGGTTATCATCATCAGGTAGGAATCGCCCCCCCCCCCGGCACGTGCGTCAGCAAACCTGATGACGTTAGCGTCAACCGTCCACTGGTAAGAACTAAAAGTTAGCGTGCTACGCATTAGCTTGTTTGCATCGTCACTGTGATTGTGTTAGCATGGTGTATTAGCATTTAGTAAAACTGATTTCAGCAAATTTACTGACGTGGGCAATTAAAAAAATGTACATTTACATGCAACGTCTGCGGATATTTGAGGAGAGCACAGAACTTTAAAAAGGACGTCCGACGGCGAGGTGAAGCAGTGAAATATTCCTCCTACTACAGCGCACACTTCGATGAGACGGCCCACCGCAGAGCGAGCTTTGCTCGTGTGCTGGTCCTCCTTTTAGGGGGGAGGAACGACTACTGGAGGTTAAATCCCGACTGTGGATAAGTACCTGATAAAATACAACGTTAGGAGTTTCTTTGTTCGATATGAGTGAAAACGGTGATGCTCATCAAAACCATAGGCTTCCTTCCACAAAAAAAAAAAAACACACAAAATAAACAGTCCATATTTTCAAATGTAATTTTCTCAGCCATTTTTAACATGACGAAAAGCTCAATTTGCATTACTTAATATTTGCAGCACAGTCCAAAGAACATGTTTGGAAAATGTCTAATACAAACACAGCCATCAGGCTTTATGAAAACACACACACACACACACACACACACACACACACACACACGGCTGTAGTGGAGGGTAAACGCACGTAAACACCTCTAAGTGGCGTTTACGCACCTCAAAGTTCCCTGCGCCTTGTATTCTTCCGTTGGAATAATCCGAAATAAAGTTGGTGTAATTTTAAAACAGCTAAGACTACGTTTCCTATTGTTGAACATATAAACGGCCTAGTCTGAATCATTTTCATCTGCGCTGTATTACGGTCTGTGAGCATCCAATCAGTGCCGTGCGGCTGCAGCAGCGACGCCAATCAGGATCCAGGAGGTGTGTAAACACATACACGCTGTGGATTAGCCTGCCTGCCTACCTGTTCGGAATGTGTAATATTCGTGTGCGTGCACTGACATTTAATTGTCTAAGTACGACACGTACCAGTGAGTTTCTTTTAGTCGGCGCTGTATGCGTCCATCTTTATTAGTGCATATTTACTTCTGCACATAAACGCGCACCTTGATGACCTCATCACAACATGACAGACATTTGAACCGGAAGTATCCAAGATACTACAGAATGGATTACCGTCGGTAATTAGCAATGGATATCAGGCGATATTTGAAGAGACCATCGAGTGCTCCCACTCCCACAGATGCCCGCAAAAGGCCTCAAGTACAAAGTAAGAATGAAGATCAATTCACGTTTTTAAGCGTCGTTTTGGTTCGCACAACATCGCATTAAGACAGGAACAAACGCTATTAATAACTTGCTTTCGAATAGATGATGCAGGTAGTAACAAGCCAGCCTTCCCGGTCCCATCTAAATAGGCCTAATAAAATGAGTAATTATCCTCACGCATATTGCTGCTGCTTCATAAAGCTGTTGCTTCACTGAATAGGCCTATATGCTTAATCAATGATTTGAAGTCATGAAAGGTGTAGAGTAGCCTGTAAGCGAAATACACTGTAAACATAGATTATTTGAAAACAAGTCAGTTCTCAATGTGAAAAAAAAACATGCTGTAGGCTATTTATGATGACATAGGTAGTACATGAGTGTTCCTTTAACTTATGTTGTCAGTGTAATTGACAGGCTGCTTAACTGGTGTTCTCATCCCCACAACTCTGAAATTCAACATATTTTTTCAGGCAGTAATAGGACAGACAATGATTCAGAGAGCACAGGGAGAGGAGAAACACCAGGTCGAATAGAGAGAGGAGAACGGCTGATGAGAGAACGAAATCATGACAGTGGAGAACCAAAGAGTGGAGAAGAGGAAAGGGAGGAAATGAAAGAAGACCAACATAGAATGAAGAAACAGAGAAAGGGGAGACAGAGAAAGATGAAATAGAGGGGGGAGATGAAGGAACAGGTAGTAAGAGAGGAGTAAGAGAAAAAACAGGGGCAGGAGAGATGGAGAGTGGAGAATATGAATTAGAATCTGAAGTAGAGGGAGATACAGAGGAAGAAGAATCTGAGACTGAAGACACAGTGAGAGGAGAAAATAGAGAGCAGATGCCACCCACATATCTGGACAGAAAACATAATGCAATATAGCCAGGACAGCCTTACAGAGTCGCGACGCTTTGTGTCGCGTTGCATCGCATCGCGTTGCATCGTGTCAAGGTCAGTATGATCACAAAATTCAGAGTTTACCCACCTCTAATTTTACCACTACAGCACTGCATGCGACTATTGGTCTTCAAAGACGACTTTGGCCATGGCGAGGGCGACCTTGGCCACCTTTTTGTCCTTAGCGTCGGCGCCCATGTTGGCTCGTGCCAGTCCTATCCAGTACTGCTCTGTGCGGGTCTGGTAATCCGTCACCGACTCTCCCTCCTGCACCGCGGGGTGATCCTCTTCATCTGGAAACACACACACACACACACACACACACACAGTTAAATATGCTGGGAACATTTAAAAGGAGATCAGGGTCCATTTTTACTTACAGCTGGTTTCCCTCCAAAACATTTTTAAAAAGAAGCCAAACTGCTCCAAAATCCCTAATTAAGCCGTAAAGGTCAGTTTCCTCTCGACACTACAAGTGCTGGCGTTTGCACTAATGATAAAGCTCACAGGAATATAACCCCTTAGTAAGGAATACTTCACCCAAAAATAACCATTTGTTTATATATTATATTAGACTATTATTTTTGTTATTGTTTGTTTTGTTATTGTTTATATAATAGTCCCCCCCCCACGGACGCCACATATTTTGGATGGACTGAAATGTTGTAATGACACATGACAGGATTATTTCTACAAACTTTGGTCATCACAGCTTTTCATCTAGTCACCCAGTGCTTGTGTTTACAAATGTCAGCCAACATGATGACATCAGCATTAGCCATCAACTGCTAATAAAGTTAGCATGCTAACATAATAAACTCTGATGGGTTTACGTTACACGTTGAACATCGGCATTGTGGTGTTGACACCGCGATGTTACCATTTTGTATTAGCATTTAGCTTGATTTAATATTTGAAATATGTTAATAACAGCCAATATACTTAAGACAAAAGATGTTTTATATTGCAAACTACATCTAGTATCTAGTCACCATTTTGTAAAGCAGAGCTTATTTCATGCTTCGGTGAGGTTGGTTTATCTTCCATAAAAATTATGTAATTCAATTATACTTATCACGTGTTAATATCAAGCATCCTGTACTAGTTATGAAGAGCGTGACGCGATTATAGGAAAGGGGAAAATAATCCCTTGCCTTCCTCATCCTCGCCGTCCTCTCCAGACTCCTCCTCCTCCTCCCCTTCTGCTCCTTTTGCCTCTTCCTCCTCCTCATCTTCCTCTGACTCAGACTCCTCCAGCCACTCCTGTGTCTCTGTGGATCACATAAAAAAACAAAAGTGTAAATGAATGCTCAAAGTTCCTCCAGCTCGTCATATTCCAACAAGCTCCTTTAGGGCGATCGAAATGCACAACACATTTGATATAATCGTTTGTTCATATCTTGTGTGTGTATTATTTCACTCATGTGTGACTTTGACCGGTCTCTTTTTGCACTCACTTGGGTCCATTTCCACCAGAACCTCCCACTGGTCCATCTTGTTGAGGTCCAGCGAGTAGAAGTCGTTCAGGGTGAACTGGCGGTCGCCGATCTCGAACATCCCTCCGTAAAGGAAGAGCTTGCCTTGGCGCACCGTTGCCATGGCGCTGCCCCTGGCGCACGGCTCCACCAGGGGGGCCGAGGCTGCACCTGAAGAAATATTTAAATAAAAAAGAAAGCGGATTGTCCAACCCATCTTCATCTTCTCTCATCTTTAATGCGTTTAGTGTGCGAGTGTAATCTTGCCATCGTCGTCCTCCTCCTCCTCATCCTCCTCTTCTTCCTCATCCTCCTGAGCTCCAGGGATCACTTCCTTGATGGTCATCACTGTGCCGTCCTCAGTGACAATCTCCTTGATGACTTCAGTGGGTCCTTGTGGTGCCCCCCCCTCCTCCTCCTCCTGCCTTTGCTCTGCTCCCTCCCCCTCTGCTCCACCCTTCTTCCCCCTTCTCCGTTTCTTCTTCTCCGACTTGTTTCCCTGGAAACGAAAAGGATAAATAAGTCGAAGCGTCGACCCCCTGCAGTTCACTGGGGGGCCCCTCGGAGGGGGGATGGTTCCAACCAGAAGTGAACATTAGGATCAAAACGATTAGTCCACCACGGACAAATGGTTGCGTATGGAAGTCATTTTGCACTGGAAACTTTAAACGTGTGGCTTCATCAGGACTTTCAGCTCGTGGCCTTCATCATGATAAGGTTTAGACATTCATCGTTAAAGTTTGGCTGCTGTTAGGACCTCTTCAGACGTTTTCCTTATGAAGCCAAAACCCCAAACTCCGCTTCAACGAGATTAAGTGTAAGTGGTCCGCGGGGGGGGGGCGAGGGGGGTCTTACCCTGAGGAGGCCGGGAAACCAGCGGTTCTTCAGTGCGTCGTACAGGTAGAGGTCGTTGTAGAAGTCGCCCTCCAACGTCTCCTCGTCTTCCTCGTCACAAACTCCCCCGAACAGCACCGCTCGGCCAGCCGGGCCCGCCGCCATGGAGAAACTGGAGCGGGGAGGGGGCTTGTTGCCAGAGGGGCTTACCCTGGACCACGACCACTTCTCTGCAGGACGGGGGAATGGGTTGGGTGGGGTTCAGGGGGGGGTGGGATCAGTCACAACAAGCGATAACCAACAAGCACGGAACCTGAACGGGTTCTGTCGTTTCGGCCCGTGTGTACCTTGGCCCTCTTTACCCTCCCGCTTGAGAAGGAACATGTCGGAGTGGATGGTGCCCTTGTCCACGTCCTTCTTGACTCGCTAAATGAAACACACACAATCAGGCCACCGTGTCACAGAGCGCAACGCATTATCAGCACGGGAAGAAGTGCGCGCACACGCACACACACACACACACACACACACACACACACACACACACACACACACACACACACCACTTTGGAGTATCCCCCGTAGATGATGACTCCCATGCCGTCAGGCGTGGAGGTCATCTGAGAGGCGGAGCGCGGGGAGGGGGCGGAGCCTGATGGAGCAAGGCGTGACCAGGAGAAGGTGTCCAGGGAGAAGGAGTAGACGTCATTGTAGTAGATGAAATCCCTGGAGGGCGGAGGGGGCGGAGTTAGATCAAACCACATCTTGAATACATTTAAAGGTGACGGATTATGATAAAATAGCAAAATAGTGCATCCACACTTTCAAACATCAATTAGGTTTTAATTCTTAAATATATTGAGTAAATTGAAATTGGAAAAAATAGTTGTATATCTGAAATTTTAATCAAACTCTAAATGAATAAAATACTCTTTGGCTTTGTGAACATAAATGCACTTAAATAAATATCCAACATGGCAGAAGCTGGCGGAACATTTCATCCCTTAACAGACACGGCGGCCATTCGGTTTCAGCTTGTTAGTTATGCGCAAGAAAGAAGCAACAACACCACAACGCCAGAGCTGTGGGCAAAACGTCGATAACATAAAAACTATTGAGCTCATTTCCAGATATTGTATAATAAGTCAATATAGTAATTAAGTTCACCAGCGAGTCGCTAACTTTGTCCGTCTGTTGTGATGAAACTGAACCATCCGGTTGCATAAGAGCCAAACGATGAGCTAAAAGACAGCAAAACGCTGTTTGAGTTCCAAATCTATGAATAGTTTCAAATAAAGTTACGTTTTCGTTCTACGACTGGTAGTCACGTGAAAGTCGATTTTTTTAAATCATCAATTTATATATATATATATATATATATATATATATATATATATATGGAGTATATGTATAACGTATCACATTCGATCAAAGATGTTATTGGTCCACCCTCCACTCCATCACAGACACACTGGGATCGTTTATCATTCCGTCCACCTTGTGTTCTCATGGAAACCTCCGAACACCAGCAGCTGCTTCTTGCTGAGGACCATGCGATGGCCGCTGCGACCCGGTGGACCACCGGGCGCCCTGCGGAGCAACAAAAAAGGGTAAAACCTGAAATCCCTTCAAAACACAGTGTGCACTTATGTGTACTTGTTAGTTAAAAATACTTTAAAATATTGATTTGACACACATTACGTGAAAAAGAAGTCATTAAGATGAAAGGTATTACTTCAGTAACCTCTACCAATAATCACCCCCATCGTGACACCTTCCGTTCACCCCATCGTCTCTTTGAATCACTCACTTGATGTTCTCCCATGTGTGCGTGGCCAGGTGCAGCACCCAGAGGTCTTTGTAGTGGTAGAACTGCTCCCCGTTCGGAGAGGCAAACTCACCCCCGAACACCCAGAGCTGACCCCCACCCTGGGGAACTACCACCGCCTGAGGGGGGAAGGCAGAGAGGATCCGAGTTGGGGGGACGGGGTGAGGGGTCGTGTAAACAAAGCGAGATTCAAAAGGTTGGATGACAGACTGAATTAGTGATGAAGTGGCTGACGAGTTTCCCCTACAGCCGTCTGCCCCCTTGTGGTATAAACGGAGAACCACAGTGGAGCATGAGGAGCCCACCAACAGGACAACCAGTCACCTGGCCCGTTTACATGGAAGTAACTAACAATGTTGCGGATAATCAAATAAGACACATTAAGCGGAGATGTTACGGGGGCTGAGGGTCGGGATCCTCGTACCTGGTGGGAGCAGCGGGGCGGAGGAGGGTTGGGGATGTCCGATTTAACCCAGCTGTTCTTCTTGATGTTGTAGAAAAACAGATCGTTGTACAGGTACGTCTGCAAGGAACAAGGCCGCATTGTCTTGACTTTTTTTCCTTTTTGGGATAAATAAACCAAACTGTGTGCATCAAAGCGCATGAGCTTCATAAGCAGTTTGCACAATGCGGACGACGGTGAGGCTGTGTTGAATAACAAAGCACAAGTTGATCAACTGTTAGTAAAAGCCGCTAAGTTGGGTCATCGAATTTTATTTTCCCATACCTTCCTTCCATTGAAGAATTCTCCTCCGAACAGGATGAGCTCCTCTTTCTCGGGATGGGCAGAGAGAGTAGCGCTCAATCTGCCAAAACACAGAAAGACATCAGACACGCTACACCTGACCGGCTTCAAATGGAACAAACCACAGGGTTTTATGACAGCCGCTGTTTTTATTTGTATTATATTTTTGCCTCTAAACTAAAGACATTCATCTGCTGATTTGGTCTGGAACAAATGAACAAAGAAAATAAACCTTGGTCTGCGAGTCAATCACTGGGCTCGGATCCATTTTCCTTCTAGATGATGAATATTATATCTGCTTAATATCAGCGTTTTATCATTATAACCCCACGGCAATCATCGAAAACAGACCTGCAGCCATGAAGACATTCTCTCAAAGCTAAACTATATTGGGCGGAGCGAGAGCCTCGCAAAGGTCTTTCTACAGCTTCTCGTCAGTTAGCACACCTCCTATTATTGTTTCTTTTGGTTGCGATCGACACAGTTTTAATGGTTAGAATCTATCAATTTCATTAACTGAATTCCATCCGCAAGGAGAGCAACAGAGGAGAGATCCATCGATCGGGACTGACAATAAATGTCTGGTGGATTAAGCCAATGTGGAAATATACTTGACTACAATCAAGACTGTAAGTGGTGCTGTCTGTCACCTCGGCGATGGAGGAGGACATGTCGTCTCTACAACTTGGGTCTTGGTTGCATCCAGATTCTGAAACTCAGCAATCAGAGCCTCCAAATCCTCCTGGAGACAGAGGAGGAGGGATGGAAAGCGATGAGAACATAATGAGGCATTGGGAGATCCGATGCTGCTGGTGCTCAAAAACAACAGTTGTTATTACCTGACACTAATGTGGACAGTAGTTAGCATGGGGGGGGGGGGGACTACTGTTAACTACGGCTAACTTCACTATATATCAACGGTAATTTGCACAAAGATAGAAGATAGTATAGCGGCGATGTTGTGTCGCATTAATAGACCAAATATTAATTTGGGGTTAATAGTTAAGCCCATGTTAACGTTCACGTCTACCTACCTCCTCTCGTTTGGACCTCTTTGAAACTTTTTTCTCCATCTTGGCCGCTGTCTTCTCCGCCCCCTTCACCTTCTTCTCCTTCTTGCCCTTTTTGCCCATGACGGCACTGACAGTCGTTAACTTTAACCGGCGGGGGGGGGATTTGTGTCTCTTGTTTCTCGGTGTCACATGGACCATCCAAACAAACGCGCACGCCAAATGCCGACGAGTTTCCGCCCTCGAGGGCGACCGACTTCCTGCCGCAGCCCCGCTGTGGCCTCCGCGCGGAGGAGCCGCAGCGCCCCCCGGCGGCGGGAGGGCGCGCGTGGCCAGAGGAAGAAACGCTCGAAAGGACACTTTTAAATGCTTTTAAGAGTTTGAAACTGACGTGAGTGACCTCTGGGATCCTCGTCAAGAGAGAACAACGCAACGACGAGTCTATTGCGCTCCTCCAGTAGTAAAGACGTGTTCAAGACCCCGCTGTGGTGCCCATAAAATAAAGACAATGCAATGACCGTGATTTCCTTTTAAATGCCCTTGATGTGATCCGTACAGAATGTTTTTGTACACATTCATTTGAGGCTTTCAGTGAGATTAAGGCAGATGGGGGCCCCCAGGCCAAGAAGATGCATCGGTCACAATTGACCCGAATTACGTCGATGCCACACAAACAGCCTGAGATCCTTTTGGGGCTTCGGCCAGTTTCACCTTGTAAAGCTGTTACACCTTCGGCTTTAACCAGCCCAATGAGGATGGGGACGACAATAATGGCTGCCGGCAGCATTCACACACTCAGCGTGACCTCTGTCCGCATGTTTGAATACACGTGTTCTTTTGTCTTCAGTGTGTGTGGAATTTCACAGAGAGAAACCACAAGTGCTATAATGAGCAGGTAAGTGTCTTGACACCTTGATACGGCATTTGTTTTTTTATTAAAAGCCCTGCGGGCAGGCCATGCGGCCCCTCCGCAGCAGTGCTCTCGCCTCTTACCTGAAACATTAAGAAAAATGTAATTCACGGCTAAAATGAGGTGCTTTGGTAGTGAAAGTCAGATAATCTATTTTTCCAAAAGATGGATTCAAACCATCCATCCATCCATCCATCTTACAAACCACTTATCCTGCACACAGGGTCGCGGGGGGGGCAGGAGTCAATCCCAGCCAACTTTGGGGTACACCCTGGATTGGTCGCCAGCCATACAACCATTCACACTCCTACGGGCAATTTAGACCTGATCCCCAGAGCATGTCTTTGGACTGTGGGAGGAAGCCGGAGAACCCGGAGAGAACCCACACAGACACGGGGAGAACATGCAGACTCCACTGGGCGGAGTCGAACCCAGGGCCTTCTGTCTGTGAGGCGGCAGTGCTAACCACCACTCAAACCATGATGCTGTTTATTATGAAGAGAAGAGGATTAATGTGTTATGCTTTCACCCTTCCAAATCTTGACAGTTTATTTAAAATTACAGCTTTACAATATCAGGAAGACGTCAGGGTACATTGTGTTAATCTCCTCTGATGAGAGGCTCAGAGATATTTTAGTGCCTGACACTCAAATAGATAAAATCCAATTAAAGTGATGCCTCAAATATTGGTAGTGATATCTGTAGGGGGGCTTTCTTGTTATATAAATATTGCCAACTACAGAATTTAATTTACCAGCCAAATGATTGCTTTGCTTTATATTGCTTTCATCACATCTGTGTCTTATCTATGTAATCCGCTCCTTTGAAGGCCCTCTCTGGTTGAATGGAGGTCTTATCCTTCATATCGGTTCACTGTGATTAAAGGCGGCATATTGTGATATTCATTTTTCTTCCCAGCGTCTATAATCACTCACAAGATACACAAAACCCATCAACTGACTACACACACCAGCAGCCCATAGAGTATATGCCCACAACTCACTCCTGACTGCTAACCTTTGGAGCTTTTCTAATGCGCTTCAGGGTGCATCTGTGGATGTGTGTCCATGTGTGAGTTTGTGTGTCTGTATCTGTGTGTGTGTGTGTGCATTCATTTTATCTACGTTGAGGTATGCAGGGCAGGCTGGTACTCCACTTGTACTGCTACAGATCAGGCCAAGCAAGACTTTGACACAATGAACTACAAAATCCTTTTGTATCCTGTATGTGCGTTCCCAACCTTCTCCCTGCGAGCTAGACACACAAAAACATTTCGGTGGAGTCATGTGGGGGCCCATGAGCAACGTTCCAGCGCCCAGTCTGCAGACTTAGTGATGTATGCAGGGTGCGTTCTCGAGCCCTGAAGGCAAATGCGTGGAACACAAGTCCCTTTTGTGTATTGAACTGGTGCAGTTATGCAAATCAGAAGACATTGTGAATGCAAGCTGTTGATGGCAAAAAAATAAATAATGTGCTATAAAGATGTTTGCCACAGATGCAGGTGTTACTTCGCTTACACTCACTACTAAAGGCATTTAAATGCAATGACTTGACTTCCCACTTGACTAGACTTTAAATCAACGTGACTTCACGTCACCTCACCTGACAGCACAGCTACTTTTCAAGCACAGGTCAGTGAGCCAAAAGAGAACGTGGGCAATATTCTCCGAAAGAAATGTTGTTTACTCCGATTAAGACGGAAGAACAGATGGCTGTCTCACACCTGTGTCCCTCTGCATCAATACACACACACACACACACACACTCAAGCGTCCTTGCATCAATACTGCCCTCAGCACCGGACCGTCTGCCTGTCAGCCTAAACGTCTGGTCGTGACTGATGCTGGTGGGAAAAGAATAAAGGACAGACGTGATAAGATGAGCAGGGATGTCAACACCTGAGACGAGAAATTACCCGGAATGTGTTTATCGAGGTTATCGATAGAAACACAAACAAGAGAGCAGGAACACACACATCGTTTGTAGCTCATCATGGAAAACTGAGAACAGTCTTACTTATTTACAACTGTAAAGTTCACCACCAATTCAAAGGGTACATCTCACTGGTTTAATCTTCTCACAAACAGATGTGTAAAAATGGAGTAACTATTTCTAAATGATCAACCTTTATCAATCATGAATTATCGTCAACTTTTGTTTATTACACATGGTTAATTAGTGAGATTTGGAGCTATATTTATTTTAACCTCTGCAGGCTCCAGTTGCGTACTTAAAGGTGCAATATGTTTGGTTTTGCAGCATCTAGCAGGGAGGTTTAACATCGCAACTAATAGAAACTCCTTGTGTTGCCCAAGAGAAAATAGAAAAAGTAGAGCCAGCCTTGTTTGTCTGCTCTGGGCTACTGTAGGATAGTAAGCCCGGGACGTACGTAGACTTAACCCTGTCATCACAAATAACGAAGGATTAAGGGACTAAACATATCAATATTATTATTCATTTCTGACAACAGACCTCTGACAAATGCTAAAAGGTCCTTTAATGCATTAAACATCGATATTAGAGGTTGCGTGTCAGTTCATGTCATTATTACCCTTTCCCTCACAATGTTTCGTTTTTACTCTCTTATTTCTCTCGTCTTATGCTTTTGTGTGTGTGTGTGTGTGTGTGTTTGCACATATTTGTCCACTGTGCAATAATCAGTGGTCGGTCGATCCCAGTGTGTGTGTGAGCCTCATGTGTACCCGGTGTGTAAATACTGCTAGCAGTGCATGAGTGTGTCATCGTGCATTAATGTTGGGAAGTGGAAAACCAGAGCTAACACCTGTCTGTGTTCCCTGGTCAGGATGTAGATATATGTATATATATATATATATATATATATATATATATATATACCTGTATGTATAGATTTAAAGACGTGTAGATGTATATATATGTATAGATGTCTCACTGATGCCTCTGCATGTTCTTCATGAGTAGACGTGTAGATTCAAAGATTTTTATTGTCATTTACACACTGTTTACACCCTGTGTATTGAAATTCTTGTACTTGCCTTTCCGGAAAGCCGACCAATTTTAAAATTAAAATAAAAATAAGAATAAGAATACAATATGTACATAAATGTACATGAAATAAAAAATAAAAAAATGAGTTAAGGATAAGGCAGAAATGAGGTGACGAGGAAAAGTGCAAAACTGAGCAGGTTGTAAAAGAAAAAAACTTAAATTAAATGAAATGCGTGCAATATAAATTAACAGTACAGTAACAGTAAGTGAATCCTAACAAGCTAAAGTGCAGACCAGTGAGTTAGGTTATAGAGTCCTCTCAGCTGTTGATGGCTCTAATGGCAGTGGGGAAAGAAAGAGTTTTTTAGTCTGGTGGTCCTGCATTTGGCACTTCTATACCGCCTGCCTGAGGGTAGAAGCGTGAACAGTCCATGTTGGGGGTGGGTGGGGTCTTTAAGAATGGAGGCAGCTCTCCTGTGAACCCTGCGGTGGTAGATGCTCTGCAGAGAGGGCAGCGGGGTCTTGATGATCTTTTCTGCTGTCCTCACCACTCTCTGCAGGCGTTTGCGGTCCTTTGTGGATGTGCTGCCGTACCACACGGTGATGCAGCTGGTCAATATGTTCTCGATGATGCAGCTGTAGAAGTTGCTGAGGATCTTAGGAGACATCCCAAACTTCCTCAGCCTTCTCAGGAAGTACAGCCGCTGTTGAGCCTTCTTGACCAGCTGTGTTGTGTTGAGTGTCCAGGTGAGGTCCTCACTGAAGTGGACCCAGAGGTATTTGAAGCTGCTCACCCTCTTAACTTCAAGTTCCTGGATGAAAGGTGGTTGAGGTCTCCTCTCCTTCCTCATGTCCACTATCAGCTCCTTGGTCTTGTCAGTGTTGAGGGTGAGGTTGTTATCCTCGCACCATGACACCAAACTGGCCACCTCCCTCCTGTATGCCGCTTCGTTCCCCCCCAGTGATGCGTCCTATCACTGCGGTGTCATCAGCAAACTTCAGGACGATGTTATCGTTGTGGGAGGCGACACAGTCGTGGGTGAACAGGGTGTAGAGGATGGGGCTGAGGACACAACCCTGTGGGGTGCCGATGTTGGTGAAGATGCTGGCTGAAGTCCTGTTTCCAATCCTGACAGACTGATGCTTGCCAGTCAGAAAGTCAAACAGCCAGTCAGACAGTGGGGTGCAGACCGAGTGTGGAGAGTTTATGGATGAGTTTGTGTGGGACGGCCGTGTTGAAAGCGGAGCTGTAGTCAACAAAGAGCATCCTAATGTAGGAGTCCTTGTTTTCTAGGTGAGAGAGGGAGTAGTGGAGGGCAGCAGCTATGGCATCTGAGGTGGACCTGTTGCGTCTGTAGGCGTACTGGTGGGGATTCAGGGTGTCCGGTATGCTGCTCTGAATGTGGGACAGTATCACTCTGTCAAAGCACTTCATGATGATTGGAGTGAGTGCTGCTGGCCTGTAGTCATTCAGGCAGGTGGGTGGGCTCTTTTTGGGGAGGGGAATGATGGTTGTGGTCTTGAAGCAGGTGGGGACGGTGCTCATGCTGAGGGAAAGGTTGAAGATGGAGGTGAGAACATCAGTCAGCTCATTTGCACATGCTCTCAGGGCACGCCCAGGGATGTTGTCCGGCCCTGCTGCCTTTCGGGGGTTGATCTTCCTGAGAGCTCTGTGTACCTGGCCTGATGAGTCTGTTGGTGGAGGGGGAGGAAAGGAGGGTTGGGTGATCCCGACGTGTGTGTGCCTCTCTGTGCTGGAGCTGGAGGTCTCGAAGCAGGTGTAGAAGGCGTTGAGGTCATCCGGTAGGCTGTCTGGGGTGCTAATGGAGCTACAGGTGGACCTGTAGTCGGTGATGTGCTGTAGGCTTTGCCACATCTGCCTGGAGTCAGCAGTGGAGTAGAAGCCATCCAGCTTCTCTCTGTGCTGCCTCTTTGCCGCTGTGATGGCTTTTCTCAGTCGGTACTTAGCAGCTTTGTACTCAGTCTCAGTGTAGATAGATGTGTAGGTATATAGATGACTCACTGATCCCTCTGCATGTTCTTCATGAGGAGTAGATGTATAGATGTATATACGTATAGACGTGTAGATGTGTAGGTATATATATGACTCACTGATCCCTCTGCATGTTCTTCATGAGGAGTAGATGTATAGATGTATAGACGTGTAGATGTATAGATGTGTAGGTATATAGAAGACTCACTGAACCCTCTGCATGTTCTTCACGAGGAGTAGATGTATAGATGTATATACGTATAGACGTTTAGATGTATAGATGTGTAGGTATATAGAAGACTCACTGATCCCTCTGCATGTTCTTCACGAGGGAGAATCACAAGCAGAACTGAGCGGCCAGACTGTCTCACCGCGGTGTCGTGTGATTAGAGTTTTTCAGAGGAGAATCTGGTGCATCGTGAACAAGCTACATATAAAACAGTAAAACATGCACCGTAAAGGGTTGAAGCGTGAACACACACGTGTGTCCACCATGTCTTTCTGTGTCAAAAGGAGGAGTCAAAAGAGGCTTGGTAAAAACATGTTACAATACACAAGTTAATACGTCTTTTTGTATTGTGTGAAACATCTGTGGATCTAAATGTTCCCTCTGGGGAAAGTCAGATAAAGAGCCACACGTGGCCCTCGCAGGTCTCTGAGTGACTCAATGTTGACTCACTTCACACAATAGGTGTGTTACATTTACACAGCTTGTTGCACCTCGTCGGTTCTACAGATCGCAGCTTATTTGAGAGCAAGCTGGCAGATGAACTCGCTCTCTGCTTGTTTCGCTCCGAGTAGGTTTGGTTTAGTAAATCAGTCTCAACTTAATTAGTTGTTTTTTAAACGGATAAAACATTAGTTAGTGGCCTCTGAAGCAGAAATTGTTCCAAACCAACTGTTCATTATCCTTTTCAAAGGATTTTTCATTTTTAGTTTGCAGGTGTCAAAAACGGCATATTTGACTTCATCTCTTTAGAGATTGTCGGGCGGCTTAACGAGTCCCTTCCCTTTGGACTCGCTGTAACAAGTTGTCACGATGTATTAAATATAAAAGCAGTGGGTAAACAGCCCTAAGAGGCTTGGTCTCATTCACAAGGAGAACAACATGTTCATTAATGTTCCCAACCTGAAGGAGAGGCCATTCTTCACAGCATCACTGACCCCGCCTGCGTGCTTTTCTGTGTTTATAGTAAGCACATGATGCTCACATGCGGCTAAAGAATGTTCTTTGAAAAGGGCATTACCCACCACGGCGCCTCGAGACACCAACGCCTAATCTCAACCGCGTTGTCCTATATCAAAATATACTTATTTGTCTGATCTCCCTTCCTACCCTTATTTTTGTAATTTCTTTTCTTTGTATTACTAATGTAATGTTTTTTTTACCAAGTGGAAATACATATAAAAAAAGTTAACTTAATATGTTCTGCCTCCATTTAACCAAAAGAAAAATTATGAGGATTTATCCGTCGACATTTTCCACGTATGTACAATGAATTATCAAACCAGGCGTAAGCCAGAACATAAAAAGATTCACTTATTGTGAGCTTGCTCTCACCTGCCAGACAGACATCTTAAAGATCATAGCACACAAAGACAAGCAGGACGGACTGAGGGAACGTTTGTGATCTCTGGGGCGAAAAAAACAAGCTGGTGACAAAACCAGCACACAGTCAGTCCCGCCAGCTGAGGATGTCCTGGAAACATCTGCAGCACAAGTTCATTCAAGCTCCCCAGCTGGCTTTGGGAGGCCAAAGAACCAAGAAAACGGCGCGCTGCACAGATTCAACTCAACCCAAAGTGGGTGGATAAAATCAACGAGGAATTTGTCTGACATTATTTTAGAAAAAACAAATCAAGATGTTGATTTCTATGTTTTATTTCCTATAAACGAAGACACACACACACACACACACACACACACACACACATACGGTGTTCCTCGCCCACTCAGAACAGACAGGTTTTTCAGGCCTCTCTGATAAATGTTGCAGCAGCCTCCACCACACTGCAATTTCCTAAAACACTCTTTTACAGAAAGATTGTTACCGTTATGTAGTCTCAAGTCAAGTGTCAAAACCCAATGTGGGGTCATGATGCTGATTCACCATCGGAGAAGTTATAGATGAAAATAGCAAAAAATCATGAACGTCGAAGCTAAAAGTAAAATGAATACACATGCTGCTTTTGCTGTTAATGATTGTCACACTGAACAAAGACCAAACCCTGGCTCAACATTGTTGTTCTGATTCATCACTGGGTGACTTTGTCTTTTGAACCTGCTTGTAAGAGCCAAATGTGGGATTGGAAAACCAATCACGTCATCTGTATGTTCCGGCCTCGGGTTTTAAAGCTCTTGAATACCTTGTCTCTGGATCTTGTGTAGCAAATGCAACGCACCTCCACGACTTGAGGGAACTCTGAAGGAAAGACAGTGGCTCACAGTAACAGACGGGGCTCCATGTTAACATTATTTGCTGAATACCTTTGACATCCTTCATATATCCTGCAAGCGAATGTTGTAGACTCCTCTATCACACCAAAACGTATCTCCAGGGGTCGCAGTTTGTGACAGTCGGGCTCCATGGTAACGCAGCTCGGACAGATTGACCGAGCACCAGAATCGCTACGAAGCTCGAAATAATGGCCACATTGTGGAGTTTAAAATTCCGGTCACTGTTTGTGCAGGTGCAGCGCCATAAAGCTACCAGGCCTTGTTAGTGCGTGTTAAAAGTTGCGTCTCTGTGTTGTTTGGTGTTGAACCTTCCTGTCCTCATACCTTGAATTTATCACGAGGCTGTAAAAGTGACCTGGGATCAGTCCCCCACCTCTGGCCCACGATCTGAATACTTGAGAGGATTAGCTGGTTTGGTCCTGTGAACATCCGTGTGTGAGGTTTACCTCAGCAACCAGCCTGACAGGGGCCTGCTGGTCGACACGTTCAAAGGGCTGCAAGTGAAAAATGAAACGATTTTATAGTAGAAACTTAGTCGAGTCGTTATTTCATCGATCCTTTTATTCTCCAGGATTGAAAACACAAAATACAAAGCACATAGAAAGACCAGGAGGAGACCAAGAAAAGATAAAAGCGGCAACATTTTAAGCTCCAATCACAGTTTTAGTGTGGTTATTAAATCAACAGTTTGTTTTAATGTGGAACTACAGAAAAAGACATTGCACAAGTTAAAAAGTTACTTCTACAAGTTTCTGAAAGTATCGTGTTGTACAACAAAACCCCTAACGGATGTAGAACAAGCGGCGTTTCAGCCAAAAACATCATTGCAGGAAAATGAGACTCCACACGTCCATCCAGTTACAGCCTACATGTGGGATGAAAATGGGATGCAGGAATTTGAAGCAGCCTGCACGCGATCGCGCCTTTGATGCCGAAGTACCAGCATAGAGTATCAGCACTTTGCTACCAGAAGAGGAGGAGTGTGAGAAGAGCCGAGGAAGAACAACAGATACACAGCACGGCGAGCGAGCTGACCCGTGGCTTCCTCGCTCTGCTACAGTTCAAGCGTTCCCGTCTGTGCTACACAGCTGGATTAGAGGCACTTCAACACACGTACAAAAAGGCGACATTTTGGCAGCTGCACACCTGTGTACACAGCGTAAAGTCTGGTCACCGCAGGAGAGAGAAAAGAGCATCTATAGAGAAGCGTCCACGTAGAAAAATGCATCGTTCAAGATATCAAAAATAAGTTATGCCAAAAAAATACCATTCCGTAAAGGAGCGCAGCAAGGTGAGGTTTTAGAATAGTTGGAGAGGATATGAAGAAAGCAAAGCCACAACGAATGTAAAATCTCTTCTTTCCTTTTGACCGTGTGTACATACTCATTCCACTACTCGCTGTGGGGCCACACACACACCAAACAGTACACAAAAAGACCAACACCGTTCTTCAGATTAACCAAAGCAAACCGCTGGCTTCAGCCCGAGAGCGACGTCGCAGCTAGTTACTGTCTTAATGCATGTTAAATTGCTCATTAATGATTGTACATACGAGTCATTAAGGGGAATAGATGGGACCTTTTATGCTCACGGTAAGGAACTTGTTTATCCGACAGTTGGTGCCGTCATTGTGAGTCCCGACTCATTTCAGTGGCAAACGTAGACATTTGTGTTCACACTGAAGACTGAAAGTATTTACGCTCACGTTCCTCAAAACTGTATTAGAATTCTCCAGACAATTGAGGGCAGTGCAACCAGATGTAAACAAAACGGACATATTAAGTAGATTTAGCTTGTGAGGAATCGCCTATTTCCACATACGGCGGTTGTGATGCTTCTGCTTCACTTTTCTTTTGAGTCGTGAAACGTTCCACCACGTTGACCAGCCGGTCGCTAACGTCTGTCAGAACGCTGTCTGGTGCTGCTCAGGTAGCACTCTGGGTTTTTCCTGTTTGTTTGTATGTTTGTATGGATGAAGTGGCCCTAAGCGGTGAATCTGAGTGCCGAAAGCAGAAACAATGAGCTGAAAGATTGCATAACACTGGGGTTGTCTGAGGGCTGCATCCCCGTTCACATACGGAAATACTGTTAGAAGCAGCTTCAACTAAATACAAGACCTCTACGTGTGTATTTTTGGGGTGAATATAGTTGGAATTTAGTCCCGTTTGAAAAAGGAAAATAAACTTAAAAAAAAAGAAGACTAAAAGTGACTAAACAGAAAAGGTAAAAAAAAAAACCTCATAATTTATTTAAATGCAAGGTAAACAAATTTGAGGGACTAATGACAAACAACAACCTAAAAATAAATAAATAAACTTTCTACAGTCCTATTTCATAGGTTAGTTCTCCCATCTGCTTAGTGCGATGGCTGGAGTGTTAAAACGGTTCTACTTCATACACATACATATTAACCCCGCCCACATCTCCATGGCAACAACCACAGAGACGGCCCGTCGCTGTACGAGGGCCGACGTTAATGAAACAGCATTAGCTTTTTTTAACAGTGTTTGCAAAAGTAAAACAAAACAACATGTGAGTGTTGAACACGGGGGTGTTACATGTGGAGAGCATGGCGGCGTCCCTCAGTGTGACGATCTAATGGCGCTCTGTGAGCCAAGCTCAGCGCCCACACATATATTGATCCCCGGCAGGAAAAATTAGATCGCTGACCCGGAAAACTCAAACAGCAGGAAAATAGCACATACTCAAAATCTGGACCCACCTTCCACCGATGGGCAGAATACAAAACACACACACTTCGCCGCTGTCACGCTAACCACGTGGTGATTTAAAGACTTGACTGGTCTGCGATGCTTCACACACCTGAGGAGACTTCTGCCTCCTTTCTGTGGTTTTTCCACCATTTTCTGAGGAGTTTTGCTGGCTGTAAAAAGGAGAAAAACAAAAACATCTCGCAGCAATGAACTTCACTCCCTCCCTTCCAGCAGCCCAGTGGACTTTAAAACAACAACAGGGACTCCACAGAAGAGACGCTGGGGGGGGGGGGTGCTGGCCAATCAGCAACGGCAGACACCACAAAGCTTCCCAACAAGAGCTTAAGAACCGCGATGTTTGACGGACCAAAAGGGTCCGATTCTTTGTGAACGTTGGACAAAATAAAAAGCTTTTAGACTTGACACACATTTGCCACCAAAGGCACAATTTGCTGAGTACGTCATCTTTCCAATGAGGGAGGACTGGTTACATGAATATATTCACAACTGACAACAACAGTAGAAACCAAACCAAACAGTTCACTGAAATGCAGCATGAGAAAAGATTGCATTACGACCTACGAGGGACGGTTAGTGACTAAAAATAGTCCACAAGAAAAAAAGAAGAGCGCGTCTCTGTCGCGTCCTTATCAGCACCCCGCAGACGGGGTGGGAGTGTGTGTGTGGGAGAGGGAGAGAGAGAGAGAGAAAGAAAGAGGTCAACGAGGTCAGCAGCGGTCAAGCTCCATCAGCTGTGACGTCAGATCCCAGAGGTCACAGTTCGTGCAGCCCGATGGCCGTCAAGGCCTCTTAGGTCGCCTGCGGCACCACCTCCATCAACTTCTGACACAAGGCCGTGGTCGAGACTGCAATTTAACACGAGAGGCGATTAAACGCGATGTCAAGTGAAGATTAACCGATGATCCGAGCGGCGCGGCACTCACAGATTCCGTGCAGCATCCACTTGGGTTTTCTCTGCCACCGCACGCCGATAAAGTAGACGGGGACTCCGGTCGCGATGATGCCGAAGCCGATCGCACACTCCACCGGGGTCTTCCAGATGGAGACGATGATGAGGAAGAGGCAGGCGAGCACGAAGCTCAAGGGCAGCAGAATATTCACCTGCAGGGAAGACATGAAAACACTTTAAACACACCTAGTGGAGGTTTATTATAAAAATAGGTTTTCCCGTGCAGGAGACGGTTTTCCCCTTTTAGGTTTGAGCATCTTCACCTTTTGTACTGTGACGCATTCCTCAGCAAAGGCAAATTTTCGAACGGTGTAGTTACGGGAGGGATTTTAATAAGAATAGTCACATTTGATTGGACGTTTTAAAAAAGGGGGCGGGTCTACAGTTGAGCACGACAAGAAGCTTCAGAGCCCTGTTGAGCGGGTTGAACAGCAGGAATGTGACAAGACAAAGAAAGGAGAAAAGGATGGAGCGGGACAGTGAAAGAGGGGCGGAGGTCAGCAAAGAGACAGTGCCACCACTGTCCCACCACTCGGTGTCCCGTCAAACACGCACACACACGCACACAGCCTTTCACTTCACTGACAGACTCCGCCTCTGACCGACACATAACATTGTGCAAGCGGATGGATGAGCAGAGTCATGGCAGCCATGAGGCTTTATGGGCAAACACAGACACACACTCTTATCTTTGTGAGGACCCCATCACACCTGAATGCCTGTCCAAGTCGTGACCTTTTAAAACGGGCCAAAATGTCCTCACATTTCTAAATTGTCCTCACTTTGTCACACACACTGGCATACAAGTGCAAAAAGGACACAATGGAGTTCTGTTTTTTTTTTTTTTTTTACAGAGTCCTGCAGCAACTGAACTAGTCAGGAGGCATAGTGCACTTCCTCACACACACACACACACACGCACGCACACGCACGCACACGCACGCACGCACGCTAACTCTGGCGGGAGGAGACGGGTACAAAGACAAAGTGAGACTCTCACGTCCGCGGCGTCGCCACGTTTGACCCACCTTGATCGGCCGCTCCATCTCCGGCTTCTTATAGCGGAGCCACATCATCCCGATTATCGCCATGGCGATGCAGAGCCAGTTGAAGAAGCTGAAGAAGTTTATGACGGAGAAGATGTCGTTGGAGAAGGCGTAGAGCAGCGTCATCAGGCACTGGTGGGAGAAGAGAATGGTGCAGTTTGTTTGCTTTATGCCTGCACAGGCACGGAAGGCTTTGTAACTGTATGTCGCTGCCAAATGAAAAACAAGAGGACCTACAGTGAAGATGAGTGAGGGCAGCGGGGTCAGCAGGGTGGGGTGGATCATTGACAGCAGACTGGGCAGGTGACCCTCCCGGGAGCCCACGAAGAACAACCTGAGAGGGAAGGAAAGACATGAAGGTTTTCCTCAACCTGGTTGGAAAGTCGCCACATTAAACGCTTTTGGGTTTCCCTTTATTGTGAGTGTGAGTGTGTGTGTGTGTGTGTGTGTTACCTGGATGAAGTGAACAGAGAGCCGTTGACTGATCCGAAGCAGGACAGGCCTACAAACACGGGGATGATCCACGCCATCGGACCCAGGTGGTAGTTACCAAAATCCTGCAGGACACACACGAGGGTGTAACAGCGATGAGGCCGACGCTCACCGAACATCTACTTCTCTGAATATTAGCCAACGGAGAGGGAAGCCACAGAGCTCCACTGTTGTGGGGCTGGATTATCAGACAGGGTGCCATGTATATATTAATAGAATCTATATACTTACATTTAAAAAAAAATAAAGAATCAGCTAACGTACGATACCCGTATTATATCATAGTGTACCGTTGCTCTACCACAGTGGTCCCGTTATATTACATTCCTACCTTTTTATATAATATAACGTACATAATACCGTACATATAAATGGGAAGACTTTTATCATATTACATCTCTATATTAATGGAGACTGGCTGGTCTGATAAACTACTGTCAATTTAGCTTGTTATTTTGTCTCCATATGCGTATTTCTATTGAAGTTTTTAAAATATATATACACACACACACCGGTTATTATTTCTGTCTTACTTTCTCTGTTTATTTGCAGCGCGTGCGTCGCAAATTGTCTCCCGCTGCAGATCAATACACTTTCATAATCGGTTATAATAGGAGCGGTTTTCGGATCAGTAAATAAAGTAAATAGCAGGGCTCTAAGAAAATAAAAGCAGTTATTGGGAGTGTGTGCTCTTACCACAGCCACAGCCTCCGAGGCGAGCATCTGCTCGGGGGAGAGGGTGGTGAAGTAGGCCAAGTTGGTCAGAACGTACACGACCGTCACTATGGGCAGAGAGATGATGATGGCCCGGGGAAGGTTTCTGAGGAGAACACACACACACACACACACACACACACACACACACACACACACACACACACACACACACACACACACACACACACACACACACACACACACACACACACACACACACACACACACACACACACACACACACACACACACACAGTCTTAGTTCGAGACGATTGATCGCTCACGGCAAACTAGTCCGTATTTGATCTTGAACGGAGCACAAGTGGCTCGCCAACACTCACTTGAAAGGCTCGATCATCTCCTCGGTGACCAAATTCAAGTAGTTCCTGTGAGCGGGAGAGGCAATGACGTCGTATTTAGCCAAAAATATATAACGCACACTGGACGATTAAAACTGTTCCGCAGTAGACAATGAACACTATCTTCACTGATCCACAAGGGAAGCAAATTCAGCCCAGTCTTGTATGATAAATAGATATCATGTAACTCATCTACAGAATGTCGTAATCAAAACTAACAAAGTTTATTTCCATCCCTGCACCATTAGGGGTCGCGACCTCAGCAGGGTTAACATTTGAATTTGCCCGATGCCTAAAACTGGAGGGCGGACAGCGAGCAGGTGGGCCGGCCGCGTGAACTCACCAGCCACCGTAAGCAAACAGGCCGCTGTAAAGCGCCAGTCCAATGCTGCCAAACTCGTACTTGGAGCCCTCGAAAGAATTCTCCGGAAGCAGGCGATCCACGTCACCTGCAGAGGAACGGGGGGAAACAACTGGGTTAGGACAACGGCGACAAATTCAATCCATCTGTGTGCATTATTGCTTCCGCAGGCGCGTTTTCCCAGGCAGCCAGTCCGGAGAACCCCAAAAGCGGAACAATGGCGCCTGCCCAGCAGACAGCAGACAGCCGGGGCTTAAATCTGTCTCGGTATGTGGATCAGGGAGCCGGGGGAGAGCCAGAGACGCCCAGCGAGGCACCCGGACGACGGAATCAAGACAACTTTTAGTGTTTTATCAAATTTATCTGCTGTTTTTCTTGCCGAGTCACGGCACATTGGTCCCAGGGACGTCTTCTGGTGGCCGAGGGCCACATTCCTGACGGAGCAGCTCCCCACAACGCGCACACACAGCCTCATTTTCAGACACAGCGACGGTTACTAAACCAACAGCCCGGGGCAGTGCTGGGTTAGCGCTAAGCCGCCGCGCAGCGTGGGAAGCGCCCGATTTACGAAACCTTCGTTTGACTAAACTGCCCGACGCGCCGCCGCCGCGGCCGCTCAGCGCTGTGGAGCTGTGCCGGGGGTCTCCGGGTCCTGGTTGGCTCCATTTCTAAGCTCACGTTGACGTAGCGGAGGTTCCTCATGGCTCGTTCAGTGAGTTTGAGTGAGTTGGGGAGTCTTCAAAGGCCCGATTGGTTAGCGTTGTTGGGTGTCAAATATCGTGTATGCAATTATTCGGTAGGTGCTTCCATTGAAATCAACGGACTGGCCGATATGAAAGTGTTCTGTAATGATGAATCAATGAGGCCGCAACTCGGCTGTCCCATACGTCAGCTCCTCCGAATGGGGGGGGGCGAGGGACACACCCGCCAGGAGGCGATTTGGAGGACACATCTGATCTATCCTCTGCGGCCCGAGCGTATCCCAGCATGCATTACGGCTGATGAAGATTTAAATCATTCAGGATGGAGGCATGTGAGCCGGCCGCGGGAGTTCACTTTAAAATGCAAGTACTTGTATTCACTTAAACATATACCTATAGAATTGTAATATTACAATATATAACATCACACAAGTTACGAGACGTTGGTACCCAATGTGCTGTTCTGAAGAACACATAAGACGTGAAAACAGTTGCTCTTTTCATTTTGTGATGACAAACTAACTTTACATTTGATTGTGTTTTATGGAGTCAGGAGGAAGCAGCATCAAGCTGAAGAGAACGAAGTGTGTGTGTGTGTGTGTGTGTGTTTGCCGTTATGGTACTGATTGATATTGCACTCTTAAAGGCAGAGGAAATTAAATCAAAGTTCATGGGTTAACTCATTTTAAAGTGTCCTTCTCTCAGCCTGAGATATATCGTGTTCCGGAGGGGAAGAATATCTGCCTAAATGAAATGAAATGAGAACCTTTTCTCGGGTTTATGGCTTTCACTGTGAAGCAAAGCAGGTTGCTAGGCAACGGGAGCGGCAGAGAGAAGGCTGATGACGCAGTAGGAAATCCCGCCGTAGGCCAGTTTGTCTCATTACACACACACACACACACACACACTTTATAAGTAGAGGACTCGTTCAGAGTTGCATAGTGAAGAATTTGTGGCGGGAAAACGCAATTATGTCCGACTGTAATTCTTGGTGTGTCAAAATTCTACTTTTCAACCGTTACCCACTGCTAGCTTTCTTTCTTCTTCTGTTGCTACCGGATCACTTTCCACAACACTGGTCTGCAGACACTCAGCTGGTCACATGAGACCAGTGGCTGGCAGTGAGACACGCACACACACACACACACACACAAAAAAAAAAAAAAAAAAAAAAAAAAAAAAACGGAGTTCTATCCTTATCCGATGTTGGCCACTTTTAGTTAAAAAGTCCAATGACTTGCTCACTGAAGTCTTTATTCTAGGTTAGTGATCGATTTCCATCACTCTTTTAAAAAGAAACTACATTCCTGAAGCGCCCTTTTTGAAAACAATCCTTTAAATTGTCATAACGATCCATTTGAAAAGCTCCTGACATCATGAGCGAGGTTTGTCCACATCGGCCAATCTGACGAACTGAACGGTCCTTCTGTGTTGAAGCAACACAGAAGGACCGTTCAGTTTGTTTTGCACGGTTCCATTGACCTTTTCCATTCTGTGGTCGACGAGCAACAAAAAAGGAGAGAAAGAGCAGCAGAAACCTTTGACATCACGTTACGTTCTACGGATCGGTCTTCGTCCTGGGAGCGAAATGACCAAAGCTCTCCAGGTTTCAGAAAACAAGATAAACGAGACCGTCTGAGACCAAAAAACGTTATGTAATAGACCAGTTTCCTGAGTGAAATAGGCGGGCCGCCATTGGCCTTTCACTCTGCCAACGACTTCCGGTTGTGTCTGCAAAGCACTTCCGGTTAGCGAGTTAGCGTCTTTTACGGTCTTTGGTTAGAGTGCAGAAAAAGTAAACTATGGATGGTGTTACACGCCGACACGGCTCCGGGACATATTGTGCTGTTCACGGTTGCAACAACTCGTGGCGATTGCTGAATGTTTGGTCGGAAGGAGAATGTTTCGACCATCTACAAGTGAGTAAAATGCTATAGATTTGCACTCAAATACGGAAGGCTTATCATTCGCGGTCAACACAGTCTACTAATTATTACGCAGACGAATGTCAGCTTTTTCATAGAAAAAAAAAAGTAAGTTAATACCTTTATCCATTCCGAAGCTATTAACAGATATGTCAGGGGTGCGCACTTTGACGCGCGTCAGTCGACTTTGAAGGGTTAAAGCATGCTTTTAGTGCAGGCAGGCTAGAGGGGATTACTCTTTCTTTTTATTACTCTTCGTGTTCTGTTATATATTAACACACGGATACATACAAACATCTTAATACAAGCATAAGATGGGCTAACGTACCTTCCAAAGCACGGCGGCTGGATGGCTACAGGTACAGCCTGCAGTCTCCACATCTCCCGTCTTGGTAACCAAAACCCAGGCGTTATGCGCTGAATTGTTAACGGACTGGCTTGGTGAACATCGGCCTTTATATGCCCATATCGTGTAAAAGTACACAGCCCACTTTGTCGGAATGGAGGTACTGAAACGCCTCTGAGCTTTTCAGGTTATTAATTGCATTCCCATCCACCGCCATGGAATCAATAAAATAAGAAAAGATCTTGGATGTTGTGATGCTGGGCCATATCGACATGTTGTCCGCCCATGATGTTACCTTACTTGGATGCGGAATGGTCAAAACAAGATTTTCGGTCGAATGTTGCCATTCCAAAGCCATTTCTACTCAGCCTGCGCCGGAAGTTCTTGGCAGAAACAGGAAGTAAACCGGAAGTGCCCGGGAAACTTGTCTATAGTGTACAATTGTGTTTTTTATTTACTAAATAAAACATGTTCGATGGAGACGGCGCTGTTGGGAATCAAATCCCCACATATAAGGAAACTGAAGTAAATCAGTCAACATCAGACTCTTTTGAGAGCAGGGCGAGATCTCACCACCGGCAATCAGATCACACCGTCCTCGAACCAGAGATGCAGGCAGTCTGACTTTACGAGCCACAAAAGGTCAACGTACACGCACACACACACACCAACTAATGCTCATCCCCATGACGACGGGATGGAAACTACGGCATCTCTACCCGGCCGCATAACACAAGAGGCCGAGGGGTTCCTTCAGATCTACAAAACCGCCAAAACATGAACGAACACCATTGAATTCAACAACGTAAGCAACATTATTTAGTGGTTATTTAAGTACGTTAGATGGCCTGGTTGAACAATAAATGCGCCCTCTTAAAAACAACTATAGACCCCTCAGTAAACCCCCCCCCCCCACCGACTGAGCAGACAGCGGCCGGCGAGGACGCGGTGGATGTGTCGATGTAATCGCAGCCACGCGCCGCGTCTTTGCCTCCATCTCGGTAATCGGAGGAGTCTCAGATAAACAGTTATTAGAGGCGCCGGGATGAAAAGGTGCCAGCGGCAAAGCTTTAGGGGGATCCGCGGGGGCTAAACGCCAGCAGCTGAACGCGGTGCAGGACGAGAGCGAGAACGAGTGAGCGGATTTACTCCTCGCGGTGCAGCTGCACGCCCGAACGGGTACGAGACAGTAATGAAGAAAAAAAACACAGTAGTTACCACAAAAGTTAATATTCTTTATCGGGGAGGTGTCCCAGACGTAGGACAATGTATTTTAGTGAGACAAATTGTAGTCACTGATACTTATATTTGTTTTTAGAGTACGTAACGCACCTCCTCGGGTCGTCTTTGAAGAGGCAGACATGTTTCCATCACGTTGGACTATGAAGTCAATCCATCTCACCTCTAACGTTACCGGTGTGTTCTTATTTTTTGAAGAGTCTCCGGGGGAGGAGGAGGAGAAGAGGCCCCGGGTGTGAGAACTGGGTCCCTTTTTGACGGGACAAAGCTCCACACATAAGCAGCAGCAGGTTTCACTTTGATCTGTGCTCCTTCAACCCTCTGCCATTGAACAAAGTACGCACTCTCTCTTTCACACCCACCTTCACTCCGCGGCCTCCTCCCTCGGCTCCACCTCAGAGGCCTGCGACCTCTGACCTCTGCTCGAACCACCCACCGCGTGCGTGCGAGATGAAGGTCGGAACTTGGATGGAGACTTCACTCTACAACCATTGTCTTGATTTGTTTGATCCCGGTGACATAAAAGGCAGGATCTCAGACGGAGATATTTTAAGACTTCCAGGAGGTAAATAAAAAACGACTCCTGAAGGAACGTGCAAAACAAGAATGACCGTAGAACGTAGCAGGCCGACCTCACCCAACGGTTTGTCCACTGACGTTTTGAACCTCAGTGGTTTCTTTGACTCTAGATGGATCATAATTTACTAAATTACCATCATGCTGTGTTGAGGGACACTTTAAACTACAGATCGAGACAATAACTCATTACTGAGGGGATAACGCAAGTTCTCAGTCTTCTATGCGATCAGACTTCTTTTCTAATGCGGAGCCGGATGGTTTTACATTCTTTCACCAGTTAAACTTTAAGTATGGTGTCACAGTTCGAGCTAAAGTGAGGAAACTGCTGACTTTCAGGGTCAATGGCAGGTGTCAGGACAAGGAGGTCATAGGTGAGCTCAGGGCTCCCACCAAAGGAAACAAAGGCTTTCATGTTTTATCTATTGAGAGGCTGGTGGATTCAGCCAAAAGGTGGACAAAAAAAAAAAAAAGTCTATTTCCGGTACAATTTGATTAGATAAGAAGTGTGGGACTAATAAATAAATGTTCTTTGTTTTTTGATCTTTTGTTTTTTTACACGATGCAATGTGGTTGTCTCGGTAAAATGAACTTCGCACAAACACGCTGCAAACCGCAAGAAAAAAAAAAAAGACAACAGATCACATCGTTCTGTAACTGTGGAAAAAACGATGAACTCATTTGCGTTTCCGATCATCCACCCGAGTAGGAGCGTGTCAGCCTATGACCGTGGAGGAGATGAGTGAAAACTTTAAGTCACATTCACCACTTCCTGTTTCACACCACATGGCACGGACTGCGTGGTGAGCTTCCTTTGCCAATTACTAAACCAACTGGATGAGTGCTGCGTGTATTTTAAGCCAACTGTCATTTCAACGGATTCGCCATTAACAAACAAACTATTTGCATAGGGGATTAACCCCTAAAAAGGGTTTGTACCACACATTGGACCAATAAGTCTAAGGGATTTTGAGCAAGAATGCTTTACTTTAACCAAAACCTAGTCACCTTGTTGCATTAACCCATGGATGGATTCCTGATCGGCCCGAAGGCCCCTGGCCCTCAAAGAGAGACAAACCGACTTCATAGCTCCTCTGTTGGAGAGGTGCCAAAGCATTGGTCTATAAATAGAGACTTCTGCCTGTAACTCACACGCATGTATCCTTGTAGGTGAATCTTATTTCATAATAAAATGCTGAATGAATACGTGTTGCCAGTTAAAAAAAAGAATTGTATTTAGCTCTTGCCATCTCTGGGACAGAGAAATGTTAATAATACGCTTTACTTTGAAAGTACTTGATAAATGATGCGGATTTCATTGCAGCGCTGAGGCTGTTTAGAGGCCTTCGAAGACCCTCGGACAGCCCCCTTTGTGCGCGTGCACGTGTAAAAGTACCTTGGCCGATCTTGACGAAGCCGATGATGATGATCATCCCCAGAGCCAGGAGCTTGGCCGCGGCAAAGATGTCCTGCACCCTGGTGGCCGCCTTCACGCTGTAGCAGTTCACAAAGGTCAAGAACACTGCAGAGACAAGAGAGACGGAGCGTGAAGGACGGCGTCCTCGAGAAGCAGCTCTTGGAATTCCAGCGCAGTGCTTCACTCAACAGAGGCTTTCTCATCGGGCACACGGAGAACTAACCGTTCCCGCAGAGGTCTTTGATGGCCTTTGTTTCCTCGAAAAAAAAAACCTTTCAATTTGTACTCAAAATTGAGGTTGTGTAGAAGCGCGTGCATGAGTGCGTGCCCGTGGCGACTAAAAAGCATGCTGGGAAGCTGGAGAGGAATCCACAGACCGGTTGAATGAACACTTCCCACTGTGCACCCCCGCTTTTTTTTTTAGCCACACATGTACAGTAATGGTAACACGCGCACACACACACACACACACACACACACACACACACACACACACACACACAGTGTCATGGTGTTGTTGACGTGGCCCCTGAACCCTGGGTCGCATCAAAAGTGATTAACTAAAGCAGCAGGTTCCTTTGGAAGCTCCTAAATCAGGTCGAGCACAATGAGCCTCTGTGTTAAAGGGGCAGAGACAAAGCGGGAGCCTGAGTACAGTACAGGGACGCACACACACACACACACACACACTACTTGTGTGAATGTCTCTCGTTACACAAATTCCCACAGAAATAGATCAGACGGAAGCATATCTCACACTGAAATAGACCGATGGGACTTTAGATGGATGTGTGTTTATGGATGGAGATTTGGCTCTCAGGTTGACAAGGACCACGCACGCGCACACTAGGATTTAGCCTGCAGTCAATCTGAAGATTAGGCGCTATTAGCGGGGCCCACATATACTTACATACACAAAACGTATGCGAGTGTTTAAGTGTCATCATGTATTCAGATACAGGTGCATTGTGTGACTGGTGGTCACAATTGTATGTGGCAGAAAAAAAGAAAAAAAAAAAAACACATGTGCAACCCCAAACTGGTGCTAACAGGTTAAAGCAGCAAATAATCCAGCATTAATCTTGTTAAACCGGTGGAACGCACAGGAATTTACACGGCTAATTAAGTATAATAAATCAACAGAAACATTTACTGATCCTAAAAGCACATTAAAGTCCTGCATTGGGTGATGCGTTAACTGTATGACAGTAAAAGTACGAACTAAATACATTATTATATTCTCTTTTGTTTTCTCAAATCCAGGACCCCCTCCCCTCATATTAAAACGGTGGTTAACGCAGACATTTAAACAAACAATTATTACAAAAGGAGAAATGTTAAAAACACATAAATAATTTATATATATATATATATATATATATATATATATAAATTATTATCGAATGTGAAAAACTGAATAACAGTGAACGTCCCCTTAAAGGCGCGTAATCCAACAATTAGCGCGAGATTAGACCAACGGTTGCATCATCTCCGCGGCAGCGTGGCTCGGCTCGGCTCAATTAGGGCTACTCACGGATGCAGAGGCAGGCCAAGAGCTTGGCCCCTTCCTCCGGCACCGGGCAGTCGGGGAACAGCGGCTTGAGCAGGTAGGTGGCGAACACGTAGGCGACGATGTACTGCGACGACGGCCGGATGATGAGCAGCTCGATCCACAGCTTGAGGAAAGCCAGCAGGGAGCCGTACACCTCCAGGATGTAGGCGTAGTCCCCCCCGGACTTGGTGATGGTGGTCCCCAGCTCCGCGTAGCAGAGCGCACCCACCGTGGAGAACACGCCGCACACCGCCCACACCACCAGGGACAGACCCACGGAGCCGGCCTCCTTCACCACGCCGGTCGGCGTGACGAAGATGCCCGAACCGATGATGGTGCCCACGATGATCGCCACGCCGTTGAACAGGGTGATGTTCTTCTCCAGGACGACCCCCTGTCCCCCTCCCTTTCCCGCGGCGGCGGGCTCTCCCCCCGGCGCGGCGCCCGGGTCCCCCTTCGCCGCGGACAGCATCCTCTCCGTGAGCTGCCTGTCCTCCTCCTCCTTGTCCGCCGAGGAGCTCGAGTTTCTCTTCTTTAAGGCCGACATCGTCCTTTCTTCCGTCTGCCTGTCTGCGTGTCTCTCTCGCGGGGAGGGGACGCGGAGCTTCCCGCTGTAGCCGCCTCTCTTGTCTCACGTCGGAGGATTGATGCCGGCCGGGCTCAACCACGAGGAGACCACGATGTGTCAGAGCGGTGCGCTTTCCTCTCAACTCGAGGAAACTGTTCCTTCGTCAAAGCCGGCCTCCTCTTTAAGCTTCCCCCCCTCCCTCCCCAGCACCGCGCCATTCGTGCCTTGCTGCGCCCTCTAGCGGCACCACCGCCACCTGCAGCTGCTTCCTTTAGGGTCTGTATAGAAACACGGATGAAGTGGTGGCTATGCTGCCGCCCCCCACCTCCCAGTCAGCCACCCGAACCAGCTGGACCTGTTTCATGACCCGTTTCATGATGCTCTGTCAGAGAAAAACTCTGAAAATAGCCCGAGAGGTGTGGAGACGCCGTCCCCCCCCCCCCAAAGAATGGGAATCCAGAACGTCTTTGTTATTTACAAAAGGTTTCCATCCTAAAGGGTGTCACTCAATCATTTCGGATCATTTTATTATCTACAGCCGCCACTTTGCATTCAGGGACTCGGATATCGTGTCATTTTGCCGCACGGGCAGAATTCAGTTGTTCAACAGACGTAAAACAAAAAAGACAAGTATATTCCTGCATTTTATTTCTGTTATTGCATTAAAAGGAATTTAGGAACAGCATCCCTCCTGGGCTTAAAATTGCTTTGGTAATTCCTTTTTGATTGTTAACCATCTGTTGAGAGATCTGCAAGATTTGACCTCCGTGTTTCATGATCGCACACATCACGAGTCCCAGCCGACATCACGAATCAGACACGTGCGTTCATGAAGGAAACATCTCCCAGCTGTCGCCCTAAACCGCGTCACCCCTTCAGGGCTGCAGGGGACTGATGCATATTTCTGCATCGGCCTGCTGAGAGGCGCCCTGCACAGATTCACATCCAGACATATTGGAATAACCAGTTTAACTAAACCTCTGCAGAAAGCGAATGCATACCATGCACAGGGAATTCCCAATGCAAAGCCATGACCTGTGCACCAGATTAAAACCATACACACAAGACATCTTTTAAAGGGAAGTCACCCCCCTAAATCCTGAGATTCAGCAAATACTGGAAAACAATAGAAGTGTGCAGCAAGATAATAATGAATTTATTCTTAACATAAATGCCTTTCGATGTGCCGATTTGCACATTTTTCTGTAGTTTTTTTCTACAGTAAATGTGAGGATAGACCTCCTGCTGCTGAAAAATGCACATTTGATGGTTTTAATGCTTGAGAGTACGTGATCATGTTCGGTAAAGAAGCGCCGAGGAACAAGGTGGCGGATTGTGGACAGAGGCGTTCGGTGTGCGGTTTTAGAAATTCCACACACGGCGTCTCTAATCAGCGTTCTGGAGAAGTTCAAGGGACTCGCTCTGCAGCATGACTCAGTTGACTGGCAAACGCACAAGCTCACCAACAGACACACACACTAAAACATCCAACGCCCTCGGGCCACAATGTGAGAACATAAAGCACTGGTTGTAGCCTCCCTGTCTCCTCGTGGCGGGGGGGACTGAACATACATACTCAAGGTACTGCAGAGATTGGCTCCGAAAGCCCCTCGAGAGACAAACACGTACACCTGCAGTTAATACATTGTGACGCAAACACATCCACAGACAGGTCATTTCCTCCGTTTATATTAGGTGGACATGGTGCACGTTTGTTGGTGGAACGCAGCCTTCCCGATATTGTCTTGAGTCGTCTACAGAAAGCGAGAGACACAAATATGCCTTAATCCATGTCTGTCAAACCCGTCTGATCTAACTGTGTCTTTGTAAATCTGTACACCCCCCGTATGCCCCCCTGGAGACATGGGAACAAGGGGAAGAGTATGGAATGCCGTTTTAGTCAAAATTAAATAAATGAATAAATACGTAAATACATGAAATATGTATTTAGAATACATCATGAAATGAGGCAATAAATACATAAATATTAAATACATTTAATTATTTCATGGACTTTTATTTCATAATGCCACTTTTCATTTCTAGAGTCTTTTATTTCATAATGCCGTTTTACATTTCCAGAGACTTATTTCATAATGCCGTTTTACATTTCACGTTCTTATATGCAAATCAGGGGGCGTGGCTACATCTAACATTCAGAACAGATAACAGAGCCGTGTGCAAAAGAAGGCTGGCTAAGGGACGTGAGTGTTGATATAATGGAACACATCGGTGGGCTCCGAGGTAGCATGCTAGCATTAGCAGATCAAATCAATCAACATGGGTTTTCTGCAGATACGATTTTGACACATATTGAGGGTTTTTTGGAAATACTAGGGCGGATAAGTGCTCTTCAAGATGTATACATAGACGACGAAGTTTTAAATTGTTTAAGACTGATTGAGCACCGCGTGCGTGTGGAAGAGGTCCAAGCGGGCTTCCAGCACCTGTGCTTGTAGTACCAGCGCTAATCTCACGTCCCTTAGCCAGCCTTCTTTTGCACACGGCTCTGTTGTCTGTTCTGAATGTTAGATGTAGCCACGCCCCCTGATTTGCATATAAGAACGTGAAATGTAAAACGGCATTATGAAATAAAAGACTGGAAATTAAAAGTGGCATTATGAAATAAGACTCTGGAAAGGAAAAGTGGATTTATGAAATAAAAGTACCATGAAATAATTAAATGTATTTAATATTTATGTATTTATTGCCTCATTTATTTATTTCATGATGTATTTCAAATGCATATTTCATGTATTTCCGTATTTATTCATGTATTTAATTTTGACAAAAACGGCATTCCATAGAAGAGCGCTCTTTTTATTTTTGGGCCCACTGTGGGAGACTTCAGCGCTAACCTCTCAATCCGCTGCATAATATTTCGGGTGGCCAGTTATGGCGCTGAAGGACCTCTCCAGGTTGAGGTGATTCACACTTCCTAAAAATAGCTTTTATTGTCCTTTTCATACTGCCATCTTCTGCCTGCTGACTCCTCACTCACTACTCTGGGCCACACTTAGAAGGGCACGTCCATCTAACCCCCCCCTCCGCGGCCCACAGGGCAGTTTGTGGTGCTATTGCTGATAACACCACAACAGAACATGCGTGTGTGTGTGTGCTAACAGAACCAGCGCGCGCACACACACTGTTGTGTTTGCTCACTTTTGGTGTGTTTGGCTAAACGTTAATATCTCGTATTATGTGCATACAAAGGCTCTGTGCCAGCAGACTAACTGATAGTATTCTGCTTATGATCGGTAGCTACGTTGCTGCTGCACATGCTGCAAAACGCTCACTAACGTGAGTGTCGTTTCATTGGGAGGATCTAACACACGTTGAATGGATGTTTCTACTTCAAGCTCTAGTGTTTTTTTCTCACCAGATTTGTCACTCCTATCTAAAGACACGAAAAGCTCAGAGTTATCTTGATGTCCATGAATATGGGCAAACGACCAAGAAGAGACACAGAATGGTAAAAAAAAAGACAAAGTTACCACATGGGCAATTAAACCACAAAGACGCTCTGAATAAACACAGAGACTAAAAAAAGATGTTTGCAAAGAGACAAAATAACAACGCAACACTAAACAATTAGAAAGCCAATGTTCGTACAACAACAAGGATCTATGAATCTAATTCCCTACAGGCGGAAATGTACAGGATCATTCCACAGAAGACGTAGGAGGAAATGTGCACCCAGTTTCAAACTAAAAAACGGAGGAGGGAATTTAAATTAAACTTAATTATCAGATTCTCCAGAATTAGCAGCCAACATTAACCCAACACATTCCTACTTGTGTTGGCCGACCTGTGGAACACATGCTGCCAAACACACGCCCTCAGTTAAATGCTTACTGGAGAGTAATAGACTATAATTGTAGTCTTTGATGCCCTTAAAGAGACATCCAACAAGACCCCGCAGTAGTACTACTGGGAGCCGTACCTGAAGGCCACAAAACACCTTCTAAACATCCTGCTCACACTGGCTCTGATGGCTACAGCCGGATCCCCCGAAATACAATATATGCATCCAAAAAGTATGGAACATCTATCAAATGGAAGAAATCCCATATTCATTAAGGCTCCAAATGCATATCTTTACACGACGATTATTAACACAACGAGGGTTATTATCGCATGTTGATCAGCCCGCTGGCTGAACTGTGACGCATTTACTCTCTATACACACACACACACACACACACACACACACACATCATACACATCCCTCTTTGTAAAGCATACGTGGCACCTACAATACTACAATACTACTATTTAGTACCTAAATATCACATGTAAGACTACATACAAGAAAGTAGCTGTCTGAAATAGCCTGTTATGTTGCAGAAAAGGAAATAAAAAGCGGGTTAAAACAATAACATAACAACAATGAAACAAAGAGGACAACAAGGACACCCAACACAACCTCGAACAGATGCTAAATGACCACAAAGAGACAAAACCTACTACAGGAAGACACAAAATAACAAGAAAAAGAAGCTAAACAACCACAACAATTTGTCCCAAGCTTCATAGACACACAAAGGAGAGCAACATGTACATAAGGAGACACACAGGAAGTATCTTGCTCTTATGCAGTAAAATCAATGAGGCCTGGTGACAAGAGCCCAGCGCTGCCGATACGGGGACGCTGCGGCGGTAGGAGAAGGTCGGTGAGTTGTGAGTCCGGTGTGGGTGTTGGAAGGTCGGGCTGCTGTGGTTTCATTCACCGGGTCCAGCTCCTCTCCCGGGGAATGTTGGCCCGCCGTTGGAACCATCAAACGCACAATCAAAATAGCATTCAACACAGCGGTCAAATCAAGAGCTCACACTTGATATATCCTCACGTGGGCCCTTCAGAAGCGTTGGGCCTTGCCCGTCCTTGAGGCCTCGGGGTCAAACCAGTTGGGTGACGGCCCGTGTTCAAGCCGATTGGAAGTCCAGCACCGCCAGCCTTTTTATTCAGTCATATTTCCGTCGTAAAAATGGCCCTGTAGAATGAATGGTGCAGAAAGGAAGTGTGCCGGATGGTATTTAATACCAGGATGGTAATTACAGTTTGACATTTGGACATTTTTTTGTATTCTTACACATAACTTCAAATCAGGAATTACTGGCTCACGTGCAGCCAGTTAGGGTACGATATTGTAAAATATATATTGTGCAGTCGCGCACAACAGTTCAGAGTCATAACATGGATCACACAAGACGGAAGTCCTTTTGTCTGAAATATCTAAAGCACCAAACAAACACATCAGAGGGGTTGAAGGGGAGACGGGGGGGGAGGAAAAGCAGCTGGTTCACTGGGAAAAGGACCTCTGGGTTGTTCTCTTCCTGTTTAGATCTCCATCTGGAGTGAGAACTGGAGGTGTTCTTGGGTTGTTAGTCCAAAGCGAGGAAGACTTGTTCCGGCCTTCCTCCCCCTGCTTCACCGCTGGACAACGAGGGACTCCACATGCACGTGAAACAAAGGAACCACCTTAGATGAGCATACGAGAAGGTTGCTAAGTGAGGCGGACGATACCATGTCGAGTTAAGGCATCAGCAGTGTATTTAGGATTCATCCCATGGGGTCCACGCGATGCCATTCTCAAAAAATAATAATCCTGTAATGGTGCGTGAGAAAAAGTAAGAGGGTCATCAATGGTAGCAGGTTTCATCCTCTGTGGACCATCAATAGATAACATTTTATGGCTAAGAAAAGAAAACAAGAGTTGTTGCACTTCGGTACAACCAAGAAAAGCCTTCCTCTCACACGCACACAGTACAGTTCAGTCTGTCCTTTCATACAATAAAGGGAAGCCCAGTTGAGACGGGCTGGTGTGTCCCTGTCCCCTCAGACAAGCCAAGCATAACAAACACAGCGACTGGACTTCAACCGACGTCTGGGCGGGGGACACCAAACATCCCCTCAGAGTTGGGGGGCTTCAAAAGGTGTCGACCGGGTTGCAGGGGGGGCAGAGAGGCGTTGGACGTTTTTTTGTCAAAATGTTTGTTTTTAACTCGTTTACGATCAGATAAGAGGTGGGGCAGGTGGGCCTGCGAGGGGGGACAACAGGGATGTGTCCATTGCTGACAAAAGATGGCTTGTACAGCCTCACCTTTGAAGGCCTGAGACCTCATCGTGGTATTGTTGTATCATAGGGACACAAATACCAACAAGAAAGGGAACAGATGTACAAATGTAAGACACCACTCTGAACTTTATTGTTAAATATCATCTGTTAATATATCACTTTGTTTTTCATCTATATCACATGTCATGTAACCTTCCCCCCCCTCACCCCGCGGAGCAGGGCCGCTCTAGGAGCAAAACAGATCCTGGTTTTTCAGCTGGACTGGGGGCCCCACCCGTTCAGGTGGAGCAAAGCATGCTGGGAACGGAGGGGGGCCCCAGCAAAGCCCTGTGGGGCAGGAATGTGGGCTGCCCGATCCGCTAAAATATGCAGCACATACACCTGCTAAAACATCACACTGCGCTGCAGGAGAGCTGCACCACCAGTGAGCCTGCCAACAGCCAGACGATGGCCTCTGGAATGCCGTCACGCTCACAGAGGGAGAGAATGAACAAAAAAAACACTAGAGAAAGGAGATGTAAAATTCCTCAAGTTGTAAAAAAAAAAGAAAAAGAAAAACATCGAAAAAGCCACGGAACACAAACATTCTATTACAGATTGGAAACAATGCACATCATTATATTCCAATAAAACACGAGTAGAATGTCATGACACATGAAGGCACATTGATGATTATGGTGTACATTTCAAATACGTCTAAAACAACACAGCTGTACAAGATGAAGGCGGTGCCGGGGGCCCTCGTCTCCATGTGGGCACATCACACTGAACATACAATAGGTATTGCATCATATGCGTTGCATCATACGTGTTGCATCATACATTTAAAAAAAACAAACCTTTTCTTAAAAAGAAAAGGCAACATTGCAACTTTCCCAAAAGTAGCATCACACTTCCATACAAATCAGTCCTTCAGGAGACCAGCTGGCAAATCTGTTGCTCTTTGCTAATCCTTTCAATATACATCTGTGTGCGCCTGAAGGGAGGTGCAGGAGTGGAGCAACTGCCATCTTTTCAGCGGTGGAGGGACGCTTTGAGCCAGTTGCATTGTTGCTTGGGGTTGGGGTGGGGTGGGGCTCTCTGCCCCAGTGGCCATTCAACGGGAACACGAGCCGAGAAGAGGACAGAGACACGTGAGTGCGGGTACTGTCTCCTGAAGCCCGTCCCAGAGCTGACATGTCCTTTCACGTGATAACTTCCATTCCTCCCCGCCCTGTCATCACCCCTCTCGTTCTTCTCCAATAGCGCAGCGCTGTGAGACTCACTGGGGTGGGTCAAGACTTCTTTACATGATGCAAGCTTGCATAATGGCGCTCTGGATCCGAGCCAGCCAACCAAAGCTAACCACGGTGTTATCATTGAGATTCAAATTGTAAAAATATACAAAAGCAGTTTGGAATAGTAGTAGCTTTTCTGCATTCCAGCTGTACGATATTAGCAAATCTTTCTACAATTTTCAATAATACATTTAGGAAAAAATCCAAAACAATGCCATTGGACTAATGCCATCGTGTTACTTTGATTGACTTCGCCTCCAGCAATCACAGCACTCACCAAACCATCCGGACTGAAGTTCCAGATAAACACTCGACTCAGTCTACCTGAAAGTCTAGCCAGCGGCTGCTTTACTGAGTTCCTCCTCCGTGTCACGTAACTCGTCGGCACGCTGTTGGGAGTTCTGCTCGACCGGTTCTGCTGAGAACCCTCAAAGACGCCGCACAGACTCGTGCGCCGTCTTTGAGTTTGCGCTGCACGCAGATTATTTAAGGCACCGTGGTAAAGAAAAAAAAAAGTATGAATGCGTTTCAACCAGAATATTGGGGTAAAATGTAATGGGAAAAGCTTTGTGAGTATTAGTAACATAGCAGTAGTTCGGAGTTTTCTTTAAAACTCTCAATGTCAACCAATCATGGAATTTTAATTACATTCAATATTTAATGTAGAATGTTAAAACCTCTTGGCTTTCTGCTGGAAACTACCAGCGGCCCCTTATAAAAATTAAAGATTGACGGCTGCAGTATGGACTGAGACCAGCAGGCAGCGCTGTGGAGTTCTCACACCTTATGGTTATTGATGTACGGCACACAAACCAAAATTGGAAAAAAAATCAAAATGATCCCTCCACCATATGAAACTGATGTAATAATAAAAAAAAGGATGTACATCCTGTTGAAACAGTCAATAAGTAGAACTGAAACATTTGTGTGTGTGAGAGTGAAAAAAGAAGGGAGTGTGGAAAGCTGCTCGGAGACTAACGGGGAGCTCTGGTCTGTTACTGGGAGCACTGGGCCCAGTGGCTTCAGTGGGCGTGCTGGTCGGCGTCAGCCTCCTGTAGGAAAGGGCTGAAGGAGGAGCGCACGGTGCGGCTGCAGAGCGACTGCTGCACGCGGAAGTTGTTCACCATGCTCCTCTGCACGTCCTCCTCCGCCGAGGTGAAGAGGAGGCTCCGGAACACCGCCAGCTGGAGACGAGGAGGGGGGGAGTAACACAGGGGGTGAGGAAAAGGAGACGGTCAGAAACACAAAGGCCGACTCGGTTTGACAGCACTTCCTGGTCAAAGGTGCGTATAATAAGTTTATTTCGTAATTCTTCACAGGAAAAATTGTCTCCTTTGTATTTTGGTATGTTTCCCTTTTCATCACACCACACAGCGGGTAAAAGAAACTCACTCTACACCTCTCAATGTTTCTGCTTGTACTCTTCCACTCTGCAGTATGCGCGGATTAGTTTGTCCTGGAGAACTGACACTCACAGAGGTCACTTATTTGGCGATAAACATCCTAATAATGTTAATTAAAGTGAAAGTCCTTTTAGTGTAAACATGGGTTTCTACAGTACGCTGCTCGAAGAGGTCCCTGCCGCAAGGGGGGGGACAACAAAGACAGAGTTCAACTGCATAAATATCACCCTACCCGTCTGCCTGTGTCTATCCCTCCTGGGACTGACAGCAGCAGCTCTTTGTTGCTCAAAACAGTGCTTGTTTGGATAAACTAAATCATGTGGAGAATCAAAATGGTGCTTCTCGACTGGCGAAAAAGTAGCAAAAGTCATTGATACCCTCTTTAACAGTACGAAAGAGGCAAAATCGTGCTGGGAGAAGAGCCCTAGTTGAGGGGGAAGAACACGATGTAGGCCGTTTTCCTGCTTTCAGGCGCAAAATGCTCCCACGCGCGGTTGGACAAGCTGCGACCGGTCACCCTCAGAACGGGACACTACACACACCTGGTCGTGGCTGACTTCGATGTGCTGCTTCATAACCATCCAGGAGACGGACTCGGTCAGAGGGGGGGTTGTCAGAGAGCCGTGGTAGGTCCAGTAGTCGTCAGTGTTGGCGGGTAACAGACAGGCGGGGTCGAACCGGGTAAACTCCACAACGCTGTCCTGCAGACACAAGGGGGGGGGGAAAAAAAAACACACCGTCACGGAAGGTGAATTATTTTTTTTAGGGAGAGATACCCCCAAGATTCTGTGCACACATGAGGTTACAGCATTTTAATTTGACTATTCATTATTAATTTATATATTATGGGATAATATATAAAATATTCCTATAATTAGTATAACACATGTGCTAAAATTCATGATTACACAGCAGACTGACGCTATGATCTAAATACTACAACCGTCATTATCTAATCGTGATCTATTATGAAATATGTCACACAAGCATACCACAATGAGTGTTATACCACAGCACCATCGCCCTTGCTGGACAAACACCAACTGATTAGCGATAAGCAGCACGGTAGCAGTAACGTGACCTCCAGTCGGTCTCCTCACACAGAGACTTTCTGACCCACCCTGTGACGTCTCCTGTGACCCACTAGAGGGCGCCAGCGTTTACCTCCCAGGGAAGATCCTAAGGATTCTAAACGGGTTTCAATAAAGACTACAGGGCACAAGTCAAAGGTAGAGAGGCGTGTGTGCGTGTATGTGTGTGACACTGACCTTGTGTCTGATAGCAGGCAAAGCGTCTACCAGCTTCTGCAGCCCCTCGTGTCTCTTTCCCACCTACACAGAGCATTAGACATTAATCTGGATGGTAGTCGGTAGTAGAGTGTAAACTGCACACATAGTGGCCTCATTCACGATGCAGCATGTGCACGAGACACCGCCGCCTGAAAGTATGTCCGATCACACAGGGGCCTCGTCTCTTCTCGAATTACATCGGGCTCCTCCATGTGGGCCGTACCTTCAGAAAGACTCCAATGACGGCCAGTCCATTGTCCTCCATCACTGCCTCCTCGAACAGACTGTAGCGGTCGGCGTTCCAGTGGACCAGGTGGAGCTGAGAACACACACACACACACACACACACACACACACACACACACACACACACACACAGAGCGTACATAAACGTCATGAGTCCGTCTGTGTGTGCGTACGCATGTGTGTGTGCGTGTGTTTGTGTGTGTGTGTGGGCGTGCCTGTGTGAGTGTTTGTGAGACCGATTATAAACCTTAACCCTGATCCCCAACACACTCATTCTGTCCTCTGGACAACCCACTAATTCCTTTCAAAATAAGAGTTTACGGAGTAAAAAACAAAAACAAACAAAAACAAAATAGATGGATGGCAATGTTTGCAATGCAAACTATGTAATGTTTGTAGAAGAGTAAGCGGACGGCTGCTGTATGTTAGTTTAAAAGCTCTGCTTTGAGAAACTTGACTTTAATTTGAACCCACACCACTTAGAACACCATCACTGTTTTACAAAGGCAATCAAAGCTACCAGTCAACTGTGGGTGAAACGGGAAACCTGCACCGAGGTCATAATCTCTCCGAGGACAATACGCGCAGGCATGTATCATTCATCCGGTCGATCAGGTAGAGCCGCAGCCTAAAATCATTTGCACGCCTTCAGCGACTTCACCAGAGCTTCTCATAAGTCCTCTTCTGCGTTTGGCAAATATCAGAAAAATGAGTGATGACGAGACACTTTCAGAACTGCAAAAAAACTCACAGAATTGTAACTCGATCCGCCACACACTTACACACACACACACCCACACACATGGATGGAACTGCGTGTAAAACACAAGCAGAATCTAATCTCACCGTGCTGAGACCCCCCCCCTCACACTCATACCGTGTTAGACTTTGGTACACAGACAAACACATGACCGATACCGGCGGTACCATCGGGCAGAATATTGACGCAGAGCTCGGCGAAGATCGCCCCACGCCAAACCTCCCCCCCCTCTTCCCACTCTGGGTTTTTCCACAGTTAAAGAAGAATAGAAAACAAACCTGACTGGAAAAGTAAGTCAACATTTGCAGTGTTTAAACAGTGCCGTGTTACATTTATTTTGCATTCTTTGCACTGTCTTGTGGTGGGAAAAAGGACTGCGGAGGACGAGCTGCTCTCCTGAGCACCACATGCACGACTTTTTGTACTGAATGCAGAGTCAGAGGATTACTGACTAAAACCCATTCACATGCTATGTGATGGTATGTGCTCCACCCCCCTCCACATAAAGGGGAAAAACAACTATGATCTTAAAGTGTTCTTGTTATTGTGGGAGATAATATAGTTGCCCATATTTTTTAAGAATTATATCATTAATATTACCACGTCCGTTTCCATTTGAAAAACGGGGCTTTTCTACCTCGTTGACAATATCAAAGGAAGGAGCGTGGACGGCGTGGACAGCGTGGACGGCGTGGACGGCGTGTGGCGGCGCTGTACCTCTGCAGGGAAAAGCCTCCGGTCCACCGTGTGCTCTGACCCCCAGGCGTTGCTCTCCCCCCAGTGGAAGTGGAACTGGCACAACCGGAATGTGTCTTGCAGGGGGCCCCCCTTGAGCGCTGCGCCGCAAAATAAAATATATTTAAAAAAAGGACACACCTGGACAATTAGAGATTAACCAATGCTGCACTTGTATGTATTTATTTGAGTTGACTGGAAAGCGCCAGAGGAGATACAACACGGTCATCCATGTAGTACTAAAACCCTGTCGTGAACCTGCTTCTCTCAGGACCAGGTCTCATTTCTAATTTGTTCCTATAGTTTAGAAAGTGATGTCAGTGCTCGTGCTGCAGCACCGTAATTATACCAAAATAAAATGACCAAAACTCTGTGTACAGACTAAATAGCTGTTGTTGAGGTCAGGACACACACGCGCTGGTCACCTGACCCACGTGACCGTCTGGCATATTTTATCAGCGGCTTTAAGTGTAGCATTGATTACAGGACAGAGGGCTCTTAGGCAAAGGGGGAGGCGGGGGGGGGATAAGCCTCTTATGTAGATCAGAACAAACATTCTTCGGGCTGAGTTTTAAATCCATTCAGATTCAAATGGAAACTACCGACTTGCTCCAAATATTTCATATTGAAACGCGTCTGTGGAACATTTAACTTTTAATATCCCTGCAGGACGATTAATGGCGTAGCTCTTAATGCATATTGAGGGATTTCCCCCATCCGTGACGAAATAGACACAAGAAGGCACTCACTGGACTTGTCGGTGGTGTCGTCGTACTCCACCAGAAAGGAGTAGCCGTTGTTCCAGATCTGCTGGCAGGTCTGCGGGTCGTAGTCGTAGACCAGGGGCTTCAGCTCAGAGTCGAACACGCTTTTTCGCACGGCGATGTCGATGGGGGACTGGCGGTCGCCTCCGGGTATCGCGAGGGGTTCCTGCCACATGGGATGTACTGCGAGAGGAGGAGAGAGAGAGAGAGAGAGAGAGAATCAGAAAAAAAACTAACTAAAAAAAACTGAACACCTCCTGAAAAGTTCAAAAAGAAAGAAAAAAAAGTGAAAACCAAAAAGGTGCTGACACCTACTTTTCATGTTGTACTCGGCTGCGTCATGCATAGTAAGACAGTCCATATTAAAACAAGAAAAACATTTGACAGAAACACATAAACTAGTGTCGGTGATGGCCAGACACACAACGCACAATCCGTCCTCCTTCCTCGATGCGCTGAAGGAGGAAATAATAAGGAGCAATAGTACTTCCTTCTAGTCAGTTGTTTTTTCTTTCCCAAAAGGATATCAGAAAATAAAGAGAGAAATGGGCTGGCTGTACAGAAAGTGACACGCGGAATGTTCTGGCACGCCCCCAGCTCCCCTACACAGCGGGGAAATCTGACCGGGACCTCCGGCCGCTCAAACCGCCGGCTCGGGCCAACGCGCGTCAACGGACCGGACTTCTAATTACCCCGAAGCCTCCGTCCTCCTTCTTTACCCTTTGAAATCCACCAAAAAAAACCCATCTACCTCTACTTATTAAAAGGTTCAGTTTCCCTCCCACTCCTGACCGACGCTTATCTACAGAAAGGAATCTTTTCGAGTGCTGCTTTGAGAAAGGGCACAAAAGCGGTGCTGGCTCTTCTTTCCTCCCCCTCCATTCATCCAGGCTTACAGTTTCCACCGGGCCAAAAAGGTCTGACCGGGACATGACCTTCACCATCACAGGATGGAAAGACAGAACTCTATAATACTGCGAAGGCGCGACGACAGTTCTTTTTCCTCTTAACAATGCATCCTTGACCGAGTGTCAGTGAACGTTTATTAGCATCTTCACAGTTCGCACCGTCTGAGGGGGCATGTCTTTGGAGTAGGGCTGAGCGGTGTACCGATTCAACCGGCATACCGGTATCAGATTGCCTCAAGGTGTAGGTTTTTCCCGTACCGTCATACCGGGTGTAGCCGTAACAGCTGATGTTCTACTTTGGCAGGCAGAAGATTTTATTTTTACACCTGACCGGCCGGAGCTACTTCATGTACAAATGTTCCAGTGGTCAGCCATCCTTTTCGCCGTCAATGAATGAATGTTTATTCAGAAAAAAACAAATAGCGCAATATACAAGGAGAGCGTCGGAATCTTGAATTTTTGGCCATACAGCCCAGCCTTACTTTGGAGTTCAGGAACAACCCTCCAACCAGCACAGACCGCTCATTGACGGATGGAGCTCAAGCAAGTGCCAAAACACTTGCAGTACCTCAAGTGGCCACTTGATGCCGGCAGCGTAAAGAAAGAAGTAAACGTACAACAAGGCCAAAAAAACGGTTTGGTCTCTATGGCTAATATCTCGCTTTGTGACCATTGTACTGGGGAGGCGGTTTAAAGCACACAGGTGATTCAATTGTATTTTATTGCCTATCTGTATTGCAGCATATTTGAGCCAGACAAAACGTGTACATGTCACGTTTTGATCACTGGGCTGACTTATAACTGCACAGTACCTCGAGTACTCAAACCCTGGCTGCTCCAAGTCCCATATCAAAGTGTCCCTGAGCGAAGACATCAAACCCCCAACTGCGGCTGCCACACTACTCCACTGCGTAGGAGGGGTTAAAAATGCTAGTCGCTTTGGATAAAAGTGTAAGCTAAATGACATGTAATACAAAATATATGAATGGAAATCAGTGGAAAATTTGATGACGCACTCACAGTCCTTAACAGTGATTAACACAAATTCAGCAGGCGGCAATGTAAAGTATCAGTTGTTCTTGGAATTATCCGAAGACAGCAATCGGCAAACCTCTGCCGATTATGAACAAAACATCAATCAGAAATTACGGCAAGTGGGTTTCAGGGAGTCATTGCAGGGTGAGCGTGCCGTCCCGGGCGAGCTCCACTCAAGTGCCTTTGGGTGGTCGACTAACATCAGGGTCACGGTGTCGGGGCTCCCTGTGAGTCAGCGGTTTCTGCCTGAGCAGCAGGGAGAACACAGATGTCTCTTCAGAGAGGAAAGTACAAGATCAGATCAAAAGGACAGACCGCTGGACGGACAAGAAACCTCCTTTTCTGGAGGACCCCTTCAAAGACAAGAGCGAGAGTCCTCCCATAGAGCTTTTGGACACAACGTGCTCATTGCAGCATTTTTAACATTAGCACTGAAATGTGTTCATTATCACGGTGAGAGAGGCTGTTGGGACACGCCAGGCAAAAACTTCCCATTAATGGGAAGGGCGAATGACTCACAGGACAGGTGGAACATGTAAAAAAGTGGCAAGGATGTATCCTTTTTTTATTTTGATGTCACGCCCATAACATAATCCCACGAGCTGAGCGGTGCATGAAACTCAGAAATTAGTCCGCGTCTTTTGCACTTTGCACAGTTCAATAGCTTCTTTGAATTTATTGCACGACATAAGATATATCACTAAAACGTCAAGTAAGCTAACAGGTGGCTAACCGGTCGTAGTATGCTTGTAAATTGATCCTTCAAACTTAACCACAGTTTAAAGGGAACCAGTACAATGATAAATTACACAACATCTGATGTAATGTCTTAACACAAGGGTCCCAATGTAGGCCAAAGGGCTTCAGGTGGCCCCTACAGGGATGCCGAGACGTGTTTGGAAAACCCGGCACCCGAGATCCATCTTAAACAATCTACACAGTGATTCTGATCCGGCAAAGCTGAAGGATCCAGCCCGGGTTTTCCAAAACCCTGCTACCCGCTTTCGGATGACAACAATCGCCCATAAACTGATGCTCTGCGCGAGACCGACAAGGACGGGCCGCTCCCTGTCAGATCAGCCGACACAGACGCACCGCCACCGTACGGCGCTGATGTCGGGGGTTAAAAATGTCCCCCGTGGTAAATTATCGGTACTCACTCTGCGACAGCACATATTTGCTCGAGCACGCCAAGAGGTTGCATCTCCTGGCGGGCACGATTCGGGGACTCCAGGCGCGTCTGAGGACGTGTCGGCGGAGCAGCGAGGCGAGGGGTCTCGCGGCGGAGCACAGGGTCACCATGTTGACGCAGCTGACGTTAACGGCTCCACGACCAGGCTTAGCGGTTAGCTCCCGTCGGTTAGACCCACTGCAAGACTCAGCTCTTTCCCTCTCGGCTCTGCCTTCCGACCGGTAGTCTGGAGGCGGGGGGAGGGGGGAGCGCAGGTACACACATTCAAGACAATAACAACAACAACAACAACCGGTTCCTCCCGAGCCTGTTGTGCCAAGTTAACCCGGTTAAACGGCGTCCTCGTTTGCTCGCGCACCGGATGGACGAAGCCTGGGGAAGTGTTGTTTGGCTGTACAGAGGGGAGGGGGGGAGAGAAGGGGAAAAGGGGGCGGGGTGCAGTCCTAACCAATCAGCGGCCTCCACTGGGGGGGCGGTCGTAGTGGTGACGATGATGAAAATATACAGTTTTAATACGAGATGCAGGTGGTTTGTTTTTAAATACAAACGCATTATATTTATCTATTTTTTCCACAATTGTGGACATCATCATGCTGGATAGAGTTGTTCTGGTAAAAAGCTTTAATTGTTTGTAATTATAATGCAAATATCTATAACTTGGTTACTCATTTACCCCGTATTACCTTAACATTGATGTACACAATTACACAACTACAGTGCAAGCAATGTTTTACTCATTTTACCCTGACATTTCATTATTTATTATTATTTTTTCCTGCGAAACCCTTTTAATAACCCTTTAATAACTTTTAATTTCGCTTGTGGTCCAATGAGTATGCAAAACACAAATAATGTTTATTATACTTCATTAGTAGTCTTCATTTAAGTCTTCAATAAATATTTTACAGGGGTCAAAGTATTATTAGCAATACTTATTTAAAGAAGAAAGAGTAACGGTACTCATTATGCAGAGTGGCCCCGTTCATTCTGCCAAGACTGTATGGTGTAGTATTATTCCAAAAACTGCTTTGAACATCAAACTTGGAAATCAGCTATTTATAAGGCTGGCGTAGTCTGATCTAAAACACACATTATATCACGTAAGTACAATGGGAAGAAAAGGGTTAGTTTTTTTGTAAAAAGCAGCAACAAAAGAAATACTGATTATATACAATAGTCTACAAAATGTACTTATATTAGTATTACATTACATGTCGTTTAGCTGACGCTTTTATCCAAAGTGACTTATATTGCATGTTTAATGGTTGCATGGTTTTACATTATTGCCCAGGGAGCAGTTAGGGGTTTGGTGTCTTTGCTCAGGGACACTTCGACATGGGACATGGAGCAGCCAGGGTGCGAACAGCAAACCCTGCACTTCCCAGCACACTGTCTCTGCTCTACAAAAATGCATTATAACCGGTCCCATACGCTTGCATTTACATGCCTCCCTTCTTTATTTCCTCAGAATGGAATGTTTTAGTTTGCATGTTTTTGTTGTTTTTAAATGTAGTAATGTTTTAATCGGCCTCATCCTCCTGGTACATTATGCTCACAAGCCAGAGCTTGTGAACACGTTAACATTGTAGCAAGCAACTTCTCCAGTCGGTCTTATCTCATCGACAAATATTTTGAAATCAATCAATCTTGATAATAAAGGGCTGTCTGTGTGTAGCTTTGTCCTAGTGTTACATCACAGTTATTCCTAAAGACGTCACACTCTGTGAGAGACTTTAACCCCCGAAGTGAACAAACGTATTCAGAACATCAAACAAAACATGGGCATGTTTTTGTTTGGGCTTTTACTTGAGGTCAGCTTCTAAACAAGGACAGAGTTTAACCACAATCAGGCTCGTCGACCCGTCATCAGTCGGGGTTATCTTCCTTGCCTTCAAAACAATTGGATAGATGTGTGTGTGTATATATATATATATATATATATATATATAATTATAATATATATATATGTATATTATATATATATATATATTTTTTTCTATAATATATAAATATATATATAAAAAAATATATAAAGATAAAAAGAAGACAATGACAAGCAAGTGTCTTTGTTGAGTTTATTATTGTCTTTGTGTCCAAAAGGTTTCTCGGCAGAACAACAAATCAGATCGCAATTAAATTGATGAAACTAAGGACAGAGGAGAAGAAGGCAGGGGGTCAGCGGCTACGCTTTGTGTCTTATGTCCCTCTGGTGTGAAAAAGGCCCGACTGCTTCTCAGGCACAGCCCCGAGGATCAGGACAACCTGCAGGCCGTTGCCTGGAATTGGCAGTCAAAACATGTTTTTGGAAAAGTAGCAAACTGACGCCCTCCCCCCACCCGCCATCACAGGGCACAACGTGTCCAAACAGGGACATTAACAGCCCCCGCGGAAGAGTTTTGAGCTTGGCTTTAGACTCCTTGTCCAGTCTGTTGAACCCCACCCGCCTACTCTCCCACAAAAGCACCGAGATCAATATCACAACCCATGTCACACATTTTCTTTACATCTTGTAAATTTCACCTGACCACAAAGCACATAAACACCCTCTCTCGTGTAATAGCATGAGATATACATTACGTTTATAAAAAAATACAAAATCAACAAAAAAAACTTTTTTCCAAACCAGCAAGAGGTTTTTTTTTGTAGGAACGAGAAATTAACAAAGAAGTTGTACGGATTTTTCAAAAAGTTAAAATGTAGAACCTATTTACAGCATCATCTCAGAGCAGGGGGAGGGGGAGGGTTGGGGTGAGAAACCACAGCTGGGCGAACCAGGGCAGTCAACTGTTGTTCATGAAAGAGGTGTCTTACTCAAACCTACGGTCAGTCTGGACTCAACTGTGAAAAGCCTTCAAAGACTCCTCAGTCCTTCAGGGTAACAAAGAGAGGGGGGGGTTCAGTCAAGAGCAATTATGTCATCATCGTCGTTGTCATCATCATTGGTGGCAGCAGCCGCACTCGATTGGTCCGTCCGCAGGCGCTTGGTGGAGGTCTCTCCAGTTTCTGCGTCGGAGTGCTTCCTCTTGGAGCCGCTAGATGTTGCCGCTGTACTGGATGACGCCCCTTCCTCCTCCTCTTCCTCCTCACCAGAGTCAACGATCATGATATCATCATCCTCTGCTGGAGCTGAAAGGTGGCGGACAACAGCTTTCACAGGTTACCAAAAAAAACAACAACAACAGGCCGGTACAAACGCGTTTTACGGAAGAAGAAAAAAATTGCACAAAAAGAATAACACGGTTCTGTGACACTCGAATGGTTAATTAAAATCAAAAGAGTAAGAGATTTATTATCTAGAAGATAACGATGTCAGCGGACGCAAAGCAACAGCGGTTTGAAACCTGCAGCTCCTACTGCTAACGGCCGTCTGTCACAATGAAAGATTACATATCTACATAATCCAGATGTGATCAACCTACAGAGTAACAAAGGCCATTAAACCGTCTGGAGCGATAACACAAAGCAGCGCACACATTCCTACTCATCAGCGTTAGAGACAAGAGGCAAGCAGACCAGCACCACTCTAAGAACAAACTAAAAACAATTAGAAGAAAAAGGTTCTCTGCTGCTGACCTTTAAAAGAGGTGGATGGCTGGGCAGAGTCCTTGTTGCCGTTGGTGATGCTTTTGACCTCTTCCTGGGTACTCTGAGGGGGCGGAGCTTTGTCCGGGGCCTCGCCTACGACCTCGAACTCCACATCCCGCTCCAGCTCCTCACTGCATAGAAAGATGCAAACAGAACACCGCGATGTGTGAAAGTCACCAAAAAAAACACCACACAAACATTAGAGGTGAAATATGGGCACAATGCACTCGCGCGACAACATGACCGGCAGTACATACGTGTGCAGGACGTTGACGAGCAACGCGTAGTCTTGGAGGAAGTCGTCGACTTGGAGGCGGCTGCCGTTGCGGATTCCGAAATCAGCAAGACTTTTGCTGTTGTTGGCTGTGGTTGAAATCACACAGCGTTTTTATTACTATACATGTGGGGACATTCGATTCATTATTAAATCTTCCCCCAAAACTTTTGGAACAAATGTTCTTAAGACTGTAAACCACAATACATTCCCTACATTTATAATGATGAGTGATGCATTCAGGTTATATTCATTGAATGAACGAATCCACTCAAAAAGTACATATACGTATGTATACACATCGATTTCTAAAGCACAAAACTGCCCAATTACAACTCTGTAATTCGCAAAATTGTCGCAAAAGAACTGGTTGTGTTCACGAAAGGCTTTTTAATCCCTTCTGTCTGACCAGTTTTAGCTTGGGACTAATTAGACAGATGCAGCTACAGCGCCCCCCTCTGGCGGAGTGGCACATCCACAATGCGATTGAGTCATCGCCGGCCTGCTTACTTTCCGTCTCCCCCTCCTCCGAGGAAATGAGAATGGTCCCTTTTCCGTCCTCAATCTGAACATCTGGAGCCACCATCCCGAACCTCTCTTTCAGGATCTGATCGAAACGTACAAGAACATCCTGTCAACAGCTATTCAGTGACGCGGCGGTACACATCTTGATATTTACTGGTATTTTATGGGCTTTAAACGGTCCACGAAATACAGGCTTCTCTCAGGCATTTCAAGGCTTATGTCTAAGGAGGTCGCCTGAGGCGGCAGACTTGGGTCAACCAGCTCGTCGTATTACCCTGTCCTGCAGAGAGAGCACCGTGGTTTTGTGGACGTTGAGCTTGACTGTGACTTCGGGTTGGCTGGCGCAAACGTAGCAGCTGGCGCTGGGCGGATCCAGAACGCACGGGATCAGCAGCTTCTTCCTGAGGTTGGGACACTTGTTCAGGAAGATCTGCGGTAAAAAAAAATTTTTTTTAAAAAGTACAAATGGCGACTGACGTGAGACTGACTGAATGACGTTGTGGGGGATAGTTTTTAAACTACCAATGAATTACTCCTGTTTGCATCAGACATAAAGATAATAACTTAAAGCAATGACTTTGGACATTCATTTTAGATTTTGTCCCACCATCGATGATATTAAAAAATTCAGATGGGATCATTTCCCAGCTTTGGATAAAGCTTCAAGATGCTTCTTTATCATTCCGTAGCGCTTCGCTACAGGCGGGAACGGTGCAGCCACTAACCGTGCGACAGGATTCCAGCTCCCCCGACAGGACCTTCAGACCCTCCAGCACGATGAGACCGGCGATGACGGCGTTGGTCGTAGCAATAGCGGGGATGATGTTACCTGCCATGGCTGAAACACGCAAAAGAAAAAAAGTTAGGGCGGGGTGGCGTTATTTTTTATTGGCGATACAGGTGTATATGGAATGGTCTCCCTTCATGTACAATAGACCTTTAAATAAGAGTAACTCACACTTCACATCGAATGGACTCTTCATGTTCATGCTGAAGATGTGCATCCGTAAGTTGGCTGCGGCGGTAACAAAGTCCAGGGCGGGGGGGTCATCCTGAGGACAGAAAGACACACAAAATGTTATAAAAAGGTTTTACAATAAAAAGAAGTGTGAAATAGAACTTTTTATCATCTGCCTCTTCAAATGGGTTCATGACGACATAATAACGTCACCTTGTCCCACACCAGCTCGGCTCCTTCTCCCTTCTCCTGCAGCTGCGAGCGGAGGGTCTCCACGCTGCGCTGGAACAGCTGGCAGAGACCCCAAACACCCAGAACCTGCTGGTCCTTCAGACCCGAGCCTGCGGACACCTCCTGGGGACGCGCTGGGAGACAAGTGCCGAGGAACATGAGCAGAGGAGACGAGTTAACAGGCCGACGCGTGCGCAGGGATAGAGATAGAGCAAGAACTAGAGCTCCATTGGGGGGGGGGGGGTGTAATGCTCATTGTTTTCAACGGAAGTTGCAGGAGACAATCTTACAGGAACATGGAGATTTTGGGAGGGGGGAGGGGTAAAGTGACACAATCCCAAAAGAAACGTACCACTGTTTTCCAGCTGTTGCCAGTCCAGAGGTGTGGGAGCTTTCCTCGTCTTCCACAGCTTGTCCATGGTCAGCAGGTACATGATGTCGTCTTTGAAAAGCTGCAGAAAAGAGCCAATCAGAACAGAGCTGGTTGGCCTACGTTTTTAGTAAATATGGTACGGATTCAAATCAGGAACATTTATTACCAAAATCACTTCTTTTTCAAAACAGGGCTTATTAGAAACGATGCACGGTAGTTTTCCATCGGCGTGGTACAACGCGCTCCCTGAAAGACGCTATATGTTCTACCAGGCACCATTAAGATGGAAGGAAAACAGACCAAAACTGCACTACGTTAAAGTAAAGGAAACATGGTATGATGACTGTTTCCATTATTTGACACACGGTGGGGGCTTTGCTGTTCACAGGAAACAATCACACACCGAGCTCACACAGCAGATACTAAAACCAATACAAGCCTGCAGCTCAACACACACACACACACACACACACACACACACACACACACACACACACAACACAAGCAGCCGTTTTGGCTTAGAAACGCCGGCAAAACAAAGTAAGTGAAGCAGCAGTCGAACAGCAACCCTGTAGTGAACACATTGCTTAAGCAAGGCTGGCACTTGAAATTATGAATGTGACGCGTGCATGCCAGAAAATGTGCCACATGTGCCACAAAAACTGCCATTGAGAGCACACAAATTGTGAATTCTGAATGTGGTCTGCCCGCCTCTGACCTTGTTGAAGAGTTTGGCGGGATCGTATCCCGTGGAGCGGGCCCATTCCTTGGTGGAGACGCGCTTGATGTCCCCGTCCTTGTCGGAGGCCGTGGCGCGGGTCGCCGTGTCTTCGGGATTCCCTGTTTACAGAAGAAATGGATTTTTGGGTCACAGCAAATGGCTAGATTTGGTTCATGAGCAGCGCTTCACTCTCACTCACATGCAGCCTCCGGGTCCGCTGTGTCGGGGGACACCTCTTGATCGGCGTCCTCTTCCCCAAAAAGCTGACTGTAGCAGCGACAGACACAGGATGCGAGGTGAGGCCTCTGTGGTTCGGCATAATCAACCGGAACGATGCTCGTACGCAGGCATGATGGAAACGACTTACTTGAAGAGGTACTTGGCCCACACGATGCAGTGGATGGGCTCGGACGGCGTGTTCCGGATGGTGCACCCCGGGAAGGTCTTTTGGGTGGGCTTGGGTTGACACTCGTAGCACTCGGTGAGTCCCTGGGGAGCGAGGGAAGACAAGGGACGCGATGAGAGAGGGGGGAAAATGGAAATTGTGCCACGCAGCATGTCGGCGAGCGCGTTCTACCTTCTTGATGACGGTGACCTGCCCCAAGTATCCGGCGGAGCCGCTCTCTATCAGAGGGATGTCTGCGGCCAAACACATCCTGTTCACATGGTTACGGGCGGCTACGGAGAAAGGAGGGGTTTCCACGTCATTATAATGCGTTGCCAGAAGAGCGGTACATTTTTGTCATTCAAAAAGTAAATATGAAATAATTACATGGCAAAACCTATTTTTGGTTACACTAGTGAATACTAAATGCATGACAAATGAAAACAGCTTCAATAATTATTTTAAGCTGTAACTAGGCTACGTAACACATAAAATAAAATAAAATATTTCATTCAACTACAGACAAATTAGTATGTGCTCGTTATTTGTTAATTACACAATTATAAAATTGTGTAATTTGAAAGTTGAAAGCCCTGGTGACATAACAATACCTCTGTTATCCAAAGCGTTCATCACCAACATGAACTTTCTGAAGAATTCCACATTGTACTCAGGGCTGTTTGAGGGAAAACAAATAGACACAATCAGTTTCAAATCCAAAAGGGACAATACGATAAAACTCAGTTTATTCAGTCAGCAATAAACAAAGAAACTCACTTCATGATGCTGTCATGGTAGGCGGTGATGTTCACAGTGGGACAGAACTGAAGGGCACTCTCCTTGGCCACCTGCAAGACAACAACAACAAGAACAAATGTGCAAACAATGATTTAGTTGCCATGTGGTGGTAGAGACAGAACAGCGTGTTGCATCGGTGTTCGACATTAACTACCAGCAACAGTGGTCAACATTACCTGGGCTTTGGACTTGCCGACATGCTTTTTCTGAAAGAGGAACTGGCGGTTCAGGTTGCTGACATCAATGGTGTCCAAGTCGATCTGCAGATATATCGATAGGGCGGTGGCGTTAGTCATATGTACATGTGCTGAAACATCACGCCTACAACCAACCCGTCACAGCTTTTGACACGATCATTTGTTGGTTATAAGTTAGATTTTTTTTTATGTCGGCCTGTGTAAATGATGACACGCAAACCACAACATCTTAGATAAGGTATTCTCCATGCAAACGCCAATTGGATCTCCCCCAGTGGCACTGGGAAAAGCCCAAGCGGTAATATGCAGCGTATTACTGTGACTGAATCTTTAAAACTTCAATCACATATGCTTGTTAAAAAAAGAGCTGAGAGAAAGTCAACATACGTCAGGCAAACATACGTCTTCTGCTCGTTTTCGAAAGGAAGGAAATAAGGGTGAGCATCAATCTAATATTCAGTTTATCACCAATCTGCGACGACACCGGGAGGCTGATGAAGCCTTCACTGACATCCAGTGATTCTCAGCTTCAGACACCTGACGGCTGTCCCTCGAATACCACCAACGGCCGCAACTAATAATAAGTGGCACTATAAATAAACTAGCAACACCGACAGACGCTCATTTACTAAATAAAGCTTTAAAGAAGGCAGAACTTGATAACCTTGACACAATTAACAACGTACGCCAATGTATCCGGCTGGTTCTCCGTCTCATTCCAAATAAGTTGTCTGGCTAACTAAGTTGTCTAGCGGTGCCGATGGCGCCAAACGGTCCAGCCACTATTGCCACAGAAGTGTTCACATTTTACCGGCCTCAATGCCGGACTTGCCCTTTAAACTGCGCCATTGGGGACACGGGGGGCTCCTGATATAACCGCCACGAACACTCGTATGTTTTAATGCGTTTAAACACCCTCCCGGGATTTAGCCCAAGCCCACACAACCTCCCCAGGCAGTCTGTGCAGCACAAAGACCTAGCATGATAGCTAGGTAGCTAACACACACACACAAACATTAGTATGACGGACCAAGTCGATGTTTTTGAAGCCGGTGAGGACGAGGTTCTTCAGCAGCTCGCAGCCGATCCCTCCCGCTCCCACCACCAGCACCTTGCAAGTGGAGAGGGTGTCAGAGAGCTCTTTACGAAGGGAACCAACCAGTTGAACCATGTTGACCGGCTAGAGACGGAACCAGAGCCTACGGCACCGATAGCTTCTTCTTCTACGGAACTAAAATCCCGCCTACTTCCGGGTTAGTCCACCTCATCTGCGGGCTTCTTTAGGCTCTGGTTTGTTTGATTAGCGCCCTCTTCTGGGATTTGTTGGCAACTAGAAGATTGGATTGCGGTTGTTCAAAAACCTGAGATAAACAAACGAATTATAAAATGTCGAGCCTAATTCCGAGATTGTCTGGTAGTCTATAATACTCTGCGGTGCCAGAAGCACACATATCTCCATTAGGTAGACCCCCGCAGCATTTAATACGCTTTGATACATGTAGTCTAATGTAAGTATATTCTTGACACATAATACCCATCTAATATTTCCCACCTCATAGGTCTGCTTGTTGCCAACCAACTCACTCAACCCAAATCATTTACTCTCCTTCCAGCTCTCAACATTTCCACATGTTTTGTGGAAAGACCTGTTCATATAGGCCTGCTGATGTTAGAAGCCAAACATCAGAACGATATAACACCCATAAACCGCAGGAACAGCCTGCCGGAGCAATTTGGGGGTTGTTGGGTTGACCGGGATTAATGGAGCTGGCAATCGACTGTTCTCTTTTTAGATTATTTGGTTTCCTTTATTTTAATTATTGCCCATCTTTCCCAACTAACCTCATTAATATGAGTAATAACTAATCTCTCAGAGTCAACTCTAAAATCATAGAAGGCCGCCGAGGACTGACAGATTATCATCTCCCCGTTATTTTCTAAAGTTCATGTGACATGGATTTACTAATATTCACAAACTTCTCTGGTAGAAATGTTGGCAACACATTTTCCGGGGAAGTTGCTACGGGGACGACAATTTGTTGCGAAAAGTTGCTAAAGGACGTTGTGACGTCATTGCGTGAGGACTTCAATACGTAAAACTGTGTCATTACATGAAATACAAAGTAACGATAACTGACTGTCCATTTCCCCGGAGAATAGGATTTGACATTTTTCAGTTTAGATTTGTTTGTTAATTATCACATATGTTAGAAGTATATAAAAACAACATATTTTATATGTGTGTGTGTGTGTGTGTGTGTGTGTGTGTGTCAGTGTGTGTCACGTGTCCTCTGGTAAACTCAAATGAAGCAGGTTTGCGATCACGCGTTAAGCGAGGCCGCGTGCACGAGGGAAGCGCAGCAGGTGATCCGCGTGCATTATGGTCACGATGCTGCTACGCGATGAACACATATGTTCATGGAAGTTTCTAGCAGCGTTTTCTCACAGCGTGAAACAAACACGACATTGCCTGATTAAGTGTTCAAATAACGGATTCAGACGAGAGTTCATTTCACCTGCTGAGCATACGACCCCTGTAGCCATGGCAACAGTAAAGTTTGGTGGCGGTTGTTTTCACATGCTGCCTTCAGGGACTATCTGAATCTAAAATTGTGTAATTTGAATTTTGAAAATAAAATTCCTATTGTTTAAATACGGAGTTCCTTAGCGGCGTAAATGTAACATAGAGTAGAAACGCTTTGCCTAAAATTGCTGTTTTTAATCGGAAGGATTCACAGAAACACACATGCCCCCCTCTCCTGGCTCACACAAACACGCATACGTAAGAAGGTGTGGAGTTTACGCGGAGCCTGAACGCCGCACCGGTGGACCGGAAAGTTCTCGCTGTCGGGGAGCCCTCGGATGAGTGGGTCACGTGTGGAAGCTTTCTTGAGTCATATCATGTAAATGTTACAATGAACATAAGCCTTCACCTTTAGCAAGCATTGATCGAAAACACAAATATACAAGAACATCTACGTACATTGACTTGTTTGAATAGAAACACGTTTTTATTTCTGGTCACGGGGGAAGAAAATGATGTTCTCTTGTCAATAACCCTTGTCAATTATTTACGTTGTGTTGTGTAAATATGTAGGGGGAATCAATAGGGCAATGGGACGCCGTACACGTGTTATTGACCTAACGTGACCTGTGTCAAACAGCCGTGTGATGGCCGGGTGCGCGCGCGTGGGCTGACGACGGTTTTTGTAAAATTGTTTTTTAAACTCGCTCCGGGCAATTTTAACGTTTCCACTGAGCAAACCGTTTTGTGCCCGACCCGCCTCTCCCCCCACCCCACACACACACACACACACACACACACGCGCGCGCGCGCACACACCGAGGAAAAGCCCCGTCCCGCGCCGCAGCAGTTTGACAGGAACATGGGAGCCGCAAGACGCGTCGGCCCGGTGCTGCTGCTCGTCGGCCTGCTGGGGCTCCACCACTCCTCGGGCTTCTGGATCGTCAACGTGGTCTTCCCGCCCAACGCCAAATCCCGACTACCGAGCAACAGTACTCCTCCGCTCGTTATCGGTAAGCTGGGGGGGTTGGGGTGGGGGGGCTGTTACGGTTAGGAGTCAGTGCGTCCACCGGGTCGGGGTCACACCATAAAGGCTGTCTTTAAGCAGACAGCAGGAGGGCCCTGAACGCTCCACGCTGGGTGCGTGGCCCCTGGTTAATGTCAATATATTGAAAAACTATTTTGCAATGCCGTGCTGACAGATTTAAAGTTGAAAATCGTCTCCTTTTGGGTTGTTGGTTACGGTGCTCTTTGGTGTGGTATTGCAGCGACGTAGGGGGCCGGGAGGGGTTAGGACATTTATGTCTCTGCGATCCGCGGGGTCACGCACACGATGTACATTTGGTCACGTGTTGTACTCTTTGCCTCCTGCTTCCTGCTTCCCCACACACACACTTCAGCCTTAGGAGTTTTAATGTCTCGCAACATACATTTGGCCTTTCAATGAATTCAACGAGATGCGTCACATACCGATGTCCCCCTTTGTCCTTCTCCACATCTTTTATCTTTAATAATTCTATTGGTTTTGTATTCCTGTGATCAGGGTTCAGTTCAGTTCAAAAAAAGCCCCCGACTGTGTTGTCCTCAAAAATTCATATTCACGTCTAAATACAAATTCGCTATGGATTCTGGGTAAATGGGGCCTTCTGTTTAAGCCACCTTCCTTCACTTTGCAAAAAATATGTTTGCAAGTTTTAAGTTCAGTGTGTGCCTCTGGTGTACGGATAGAAATTGCCCTTTAGTGAACCGGGACTCTAATCAATTGGTTGTGTGAAAAAAATATCAAAGTACAAAACCGATATACAGTGAAATGTGTATATGCTATAAAACACCGCAGCAGAACGTGTTGTAGCAACTTGATCGTCACAATCATTCCTCACCTGCTAGTTGACACCAGTCAACGTTTAGGATTATTTTACATTGAAGAAAGGTGCTGTATAAAGTGCCGTAATTTGGAATTTAATTTATTAAATCGACACATAGGGACGGTTTCTCTTCCCACATTTTATGACTCATTGTTTGCAGCCAGAAGGTCATTGTCCAAATCAGCGACCCACGCAGTCCAGAGGAACTCCCAGTCGAGGGATTCCACACATATTGTGAAGCAGTGGGATTGTCTGATGAAACACAGTCAAAGAAATTGAATATTGCCGTTGTGTTACGAAGAGATCAAAGATAAGATTGTATCACCGTTTCCTATTTTCATGGCTGTCCCAAAGATTTTTGAGAGCCAAAGTTGAGTTTCAGTCTCAGTGTCCCTTTTAATACAGTGTATAGTGCAAAGAAGGCTGGCCCGCGACCTTTGACCTACAGCACTGACGAACAACCTTTCAGCTGGACACCTTTGGCACAGCTTTCATGTCTCCCAAAGAGGGATATTCACTCTAAAGTTTAAATTGTTTCTTTTGAATACTTGATATCAAATGAAGAACCCCTCGTTCAAACAGATCCCCTCTGGAGTGCCTTGTACGAGGGGTCTGGAGGACCCTTGATGCAAACCGTTTACGAGGGATTGAGATCTGCCGCGGGGTTTATTTTCTGCTAACAGATTCCAATTACAGGATACAGACATTTTAAATGATTAAATTACCCCCCTCCCACCCTTGCACTTATCGATGGCCTTGCGGGTGCTATTCGATGTCTTCTACTTCCTGTATTCCTCATCACCTTTAACCCCCGACCCACGTGACCTTTCCGTGCGGACCTCGCAGTGTAACTCGTGTGTGTGTGTGTGTGTGTGTGTGTGTGTGTGTGCGCAGTGCCTGGGAACTTGGGGAACCGTCTGGAAGCAAAGATAAACAAGCCGTCGTTGGTCAACTGGCTGTGCTACAAGAAAACAGAGCACTGGTTCCCCCTGTGGATTGACCTCAACATGTTCATGCCTATAGGTATTGACTGCTGGATCGATAACATTAGGTAACGTTGACTTCCCTTTAATGCCTGTGTCATCTATCACCTTGAAGTATTTCAAAATCCAGTCAGATCAATTGTACTGTTTTGTATATCTCAAATGTTTTTTGTGCATCTGGACTGACATGAATGTGGGTCGGCATGCAACAGACTTGTTTACAACAGGACGAGTCGGCGATCGTCCAACTCACCGGGGGTGCAGGTGCGGGTGCCTGGGTTCGGGCAGACGTATCCCATTGAGTTTCTAGACACTAACAAACTGGCTGGTGAGAAAATGAAGATGCCTCTACGCTGGTGGATTCTGTTCTCTGCCTGTGCATTTCTTTGTTTAATCATATAGAAATGAGAAAATATTTCATTAAAGCCATGTTATCTAGGAATTTGTCCTACACAAATGAATAGGCACTGGGCTTGATTCTTACTCTGGATTTCTTTGAGTGTCTTAGATGCACTTTGGTCATGCTCAGCCGCTTCGCTCCCGGTAATGCTGATTCGGCCGTCTGGTACTATTGACTAAGTGCTACTTGTTTTTTTGCAGGTTATTTTTACACAATGGTGCAACATTTGGTCAACGTGGGCTACACCCGAAACGAGACTGTCCGAGGAGCGCCATATGATTGGAGATTAGCTCCTAGTAAGTCTCAAAACTACACAAGCAACATCCACACGCACACAGTAACTTTGTAAGGCATTTATAGCTTGTTTTGGCTTAGAAACATGAAGGCGACAGGAATAAGGGTCATTTTTAAGGAACCGTACCTGCGTAGTTGCTGTTTGGTCTCCATTTCTCTGATATTTCTGGATTAAACAACAGAATGACGGAGAAAAATGTGTGTGACTCATGAATGGCTCCCGAAAAGTGATTTAAAGCTCCAGTGATTATTACTGTTTTTTTGGACAACTGCATCAATTTCTTGGCCACTTCCAGGGCAGCAAGCTCGAAGCAAGCCCAAAACACAACATTGACATACCGTACCATTGACACATGTCAAGTTGCCATGGAGCACATGTTAGCAAGCGCAGAGCTACGTTAGCATTCACTTGAAATCTTGTTGGGTCACACGATGTATAACTATCTTATATTCACTTTGTGCCTGCTAAACCATCTGATACTGATTTACTCCGGCACATTGTGGCGTAAAAGTGGGGCCACAGTGACCAGTGGCTGAAGAAAATCCAACATTTAGCAGCTAAAATATGTATTTCCCCTCAAGACGCTGATGGAGACCAAAACATAGCAAAAAGGTGAAAACATTCACGTGGCCCCAACAAATGCTAGGATGTTAGACACACAATAACATGGTGGTAATACAACATATTGACAACGTGTGTAGATTACCAACACTTATCTTTGTCACCTTCCCCCCACAGATGACAATGAGGAGTATTTCACGAAGCTGGAGGAGCTGGTTGAGGAGATGTACGAGCAGTACCAGAAGCCCGTCTACCTGCTGGGACACAGCATGGGCTGCCACTACGTGCTGTACTTCCTCAACCACCAGCCTCAGGCCTGGAAGGACAAGTACATCAGGGGCTTCATCTCCCTGGCAGCTCCCTGGGGTGGTGCTGTTAAACCCCTCAGAGTCATGGTGTCAGGTACTCTCGATAGAATACAGCCCGATAGAAGAGGCTCCGAATGTTTCGTCTTTGTCGTTCTCCACATTACGACCTCTCAGGGCAGAGAACAACCACCTGATTTACATTCTGGCTTCTCAAATTGGCATATGCAACGGCTACTTATTAAGACCTTTTCCCGACGTCCCAGGGGATAACGACGGCATCTCGATGATCTCCAACATCAAGATCCGCGAGGAGCAGAGGATGTCGACGACCAATCCCTGGATGCTGCCGTCTGAGATCGCCTGGCCAAAGGACCACGTGTTCATCTCCACACCAACCTTCAACTACACCAACCAGGACTACCAGCGCCTCTTCACGGACATCAACTTTGAGGACGGATGGTAACCCGAATGCTTCACCCACCTACTGCTTTGGGAATTTTAATGATTTACAGAAAGGTGACTTAATTATATCAGTATCAGTTGTGCCACTGAAGGCGCATGATAACCTGCTCAATTATGTAGATTACAGATGTTGGCAGCAGATAAGTATGGAGTGTCTACATCACTCATTCATGGTAGACAATGCTCTAATCCAGCGGTTCCCAAACTCAAGAATGCCGCGGCCCAATTTGAAATCTGAAAATCTTCTGCGGCCCACCCAAACTTTTAGTCACAACTCTGATCAAAACATAAACTTGGGACGATTAAAAATGTATTAACCGACAATGTATGTTTTGTATACCATTTTCTCCGGAGCTCATATATATTTACTTTAATACTACAAGAGGGCGCCCCATTTGACATGTTTTATTTGGCGGCGCCTTCTGTTGAATGACGACAGGCGGACAAGAGCAGCCGTTTTGAGCGAACGGATCAAAAATAGGTCAGATAAAAGAATAACACGGAATTTAAATCATAAATAATTTTATATTAATTTCAAAATTGAAAATCCAAAACATTTTATTTATTTATTGTAAATGACCTCTCGCGGCCCACCTGCAGCACCTTCGCGGCCCACACTTTGGGAATCGCTGCTCTAACACATGTACACAATGTGTATAAATACACCGGCCATATTCAGAAACTGTGCCTTAAAATGAGCCGTCAGGATTTCCGTACGGTTTCGGTGCCGCTAAGCTCCGTGCAGTTGAACACGCTGACCAATCCAAGCTCTTTCAGCAGGGGAAGCTTAGCGAGACGGCGGGAAAAAGGGGCTTTTCAGACTGAGGGTGAATACAGTTATACTCAGTATGAGGACTGTAGAGGCTAAGCCTACGCTTTAAGCCACTGAGGCATTTTGTCCGGACACCCTAGTTGACGAGCCGCTGTTGTCCCGTGACGGAAGAATGACACTCCTGTAGCCTTTGTGTTGTTGAGTCCATTTATTTTCCAACTTTCTTGTCATACGTTTAACAACCATCCACCCAGCGTGTGTAACATGGCACTACCCAGCATGTGGTCAAAAACTGTTTTGCTATTCTGGCTGGAAACACCTGCCGAGCCCCCAAAGGTTCCTACCCTATATAAGGACAATAAAGTGTTTTAACTGTATGAACCTGGGAATGAGCACGATATCGGACTTTTAAAAACTCAATGTGAAGAATTGTTATATTTTAGAGCATCTGTAAATCGGACATACAACCTACATTTGAACAGATTTTCTTTAATCATTTGGTTGGGACTAAGAACCTCAGTGGAGTACTTGCAGTATGCAGTGAGGTTCCATAGAGCAAGCTGCACAGTGACATGATGATCCTGTGAGGCTTCATCAATGCAAACCAGCCCCTTCATAAGAAGCCCCACTATCAAAGTGAAATGTGAACGTTGACCATAGTTGCTTCTTGTACCGCTCCTTTTCACAACCCAATCACACTGTTGTTCCAGGCACATGTGGGAGGACACCAAGAACCTGACCGGGGATCTCCAGCCTCCTGGCGTCGAGGTGTGGTGTATGTATGGCGTTGGGCTTCCGACTCCGGTGACATACATCTACGACGAGGAGTTTCCCGACATGGACCCGGTGGACTTTGTTTACGCCGACGGGGACGACACGGTGGACAGCTTCAGCATGAGCCTCTGCAAACGTTGGCAGGGGCAACAGGAGAAGCCCGTCCACGTGACAGAGTACCGAGGGCTGGCCCACCTAGACATAGTGTTCAGTGAACAGGTGCTCAATCAAATCCAGCATATCCTGGAGGGACGATCAGACAGGCCCAGTGAGGTCGACGTCCGGTTTAAGGGTGAATAGGCAAAAGCCTTTAAAAGTGGAAAAAAAGAAGTAAATACACAGAGTGACGGTTTCTTTACAAGCCGACCTACTCTTGCTTTTGTTCAATGTTGTATTTCTTTTAATGTCCATTCAGGTGGCTTCAAATAGTGTCACATAGTACATCTTCTTAAAAATACACAACCCTGATGTTTACTTTTGATGGATGTTCTCTTCATTATTGCTTTCAAAGGGCCCACTCACCCAACGACACATATGTATAATAATAAAAGTAGTTGAGAAGAGGTGAGTGTAATGGAAAGTTTATAGGGGACCTCACCATTTGCCCTTCTTTGTTGTTTTAAGGTTGTACCTGTATTATTTCTATAAGGCTATATGTTTTTTCTGTATGAAATATTTTTGAATAGAATACCCCAAGGCTCACACACGGTTTATACTCTCATAAACTAGCGACGATAATGTATACTGTTATATGAAGGCCAAGTGTACTTGAATGTTTCCACTGATAATAAAACAACATCATTTCAAAAAAACGATCACGCTTGTAGAGTCTAAACGCGGCGCTTTAATCTCCGGTCGATGACTTCTGACTCGATTGCGGAAGTTGCGTTGCCGGCTGGATCGCCAAGTAATCTGCCCCTCGTGACCGGCGCCTTCTTATTGCCCCGTCTCTCCTCGTCCCCCGTTACATTCTAGCAAAGACTCCTGCCTACAGCCACCAGCATGGCTGTCCGTCTATGAGAGATCCGGAGCCATGGCGGCTCGGCGGCGCGTAACCGCCCGCTCTCCGCTGCTGCGAGTCGGCTTGTTGTTGTTGTTGTCGTTGTGGTGTTTGTCGGCTCCGAGCAGAGGGATCCCGCTGGACAAATGTCACGGCGACAAGTCCTGTCAGCCCGCGAGGCCCCCCGTGGTTCTCAGTAAGTGTTTGTTTCTTTATCTCTCCGGTGTGCTAAATAATGGCGTAACTTATTATTGACGCCGCTCAACAGCTAGCTGCGGTAGTGAAGATGGACCAGACTCCCTTCAGAATTCAGCACGTTTAAGACCTCCTCGCGTGTCTCGTAGGGCGTTGGGAGCTTGAAGTAAACCTCCAACACATTTCAAATTCGGATAGTATTCAGACAATTCGGGCACAACGTCTTCGTCCAAATTGTCCATACCTCGTTTATATTGCTACTTTTCCTAAATGTATTTTGTTATCGTTGATTGATAATCAGTCAGTCTAAAGAATGCGTTTTTAATATTTGTCGTATTTGTGAAAGGTGTTAGGCAGGGCATCGTGAGGGAGATGTAAAACAAAGATATGAACGCTAGTGTTGACATGTATTTGCGAGATCAGTAAATATTTCAGTCCTCGTGTTCAATGGGCGTAGTGCGTGTGTCATGGTCGGTTGTTTACAACCAGATCAGTGTAACTTCACTCATCATATGACCATTGGAAACAGAAAATGACTCCATTAAGCAAACCACGTACCCAGGACACGGACAAAGCCTTGATTTAGACGGTTGAATCCTGAGACAGTTATGTAAACAATTTATATAAATTTCTGTTCACAATCCAGGTTATGAGATGTACCGTAATGCCAATCAACAGTTCATATGTGCAAATCCCTTTGCTTCTTCACACCCCATTATCAACGGGATTTGGGTTTATGGGATTCTTATCCGTGTTTGGTCGAGTTACAACCGCAGCCTCTGATAGCAGCCCGTGTTGCTACTTGACCTGCAGTGACCCCGTGCTGTTAGTTTGTTTGATTGACCGTGACAGCAAAGGTTACTCATCGCTAAACAATACCTACTCAACATCAGAAGACTACTCCGAGAAACCAATGCCTTCCTGATTATATAACAGTGGTTAAAATAGTTTTATTGTATGACAAACACACACACACACGAACGTGTCATTCAAAATATGTGTTATCTTTCCTTCCATCTGTCTTCGGCAGATATCATTTAGTGGACATTATAAAATAATAATAAAAATAATGATAGTTGTATCTGTGTTGCTTCTGTAATGTTGTGATACACTGACAGTGACGCAACCAAAAGGGCTGATTATTCATCTAATGCTGCAAGAGAAGAACTCGCTGTTTGAGGATCCAGTCTGAAGCAACAAGATGTCTTAAGCGAGTGTTGCTGCAAAGGAAACTATGTACCAGCGGGAAAACATTCTGTCAACTGGTGCGGTTTAGTCAAAAGAAATGTTAATAATGAAACCATTCAAATTGAACCGTGTCACTCCCGTCCCATTTAAGTAATCTTTAAACAAAGCACTGAGTATTGTTATATAGTATTTTCTGTTTGCCTGTCCGGCTTTTTTTTTTTTTTTGTATTTAAGATATTATGTTATATCTCTTTTATATTCTATTGTTAATTTAATTCTAACTTATTCTTTTTTGTTCAATGTCCAACATACTTGGACAATGAATGTTTCTAGTTCGGATTCTGAACGTCTAATTAGATTCACTAATTTCTTCTTTTTTTTGGACAAAAAACTGATGCTGAAAATGTCCATATGCCGTTTTCCTTTTTTAAAAATTAGTGCGTTTTGAAGTGTATGTGCTTTCTACAAGGCATCAAACATTAAGAAGTGGCTTCATATTCCAGTGTACGCATCTGAATTCATCTTTCAGCAGAGCACACATAGCAGAACAAAAACACTTTGTCCATAAATGGATAAACTAATTGCGAATGTCAAAACCAAAAACACGTTGGATAATATAAAGTGCAACGGCACCAAGCATATGCTAAATGTGTTACTGCCATTACACTGTATATGTACCTGCGCTAACAGTATGCCTGATAAATGCTTCTCATTGCTAACGTGGCTACTGTTGCAGTTCCGGGGGATCTGGGCAACCAGTTGGAGGCAAAGCTGGACAAACCCAGTGTGGTCCATTACATCTGCTACAAGAAGACCGACTCCTTCTTCACGCTGTGGCTCAACGTGGAGCTGCTGATCCCCCTAGCCATAGACTGTTGGGTGGACAACATGAGGTATCGTAATAAGGAATTATGAAACAGCTATCAATGCAAATCTCATCGCATTGTGATTTTGTGTTTGTGCACATTCTCGTCATGCTGTCTGTGTCACATAACGGAGTTTGGTAGATCGGGGTCAATGACCTGGTTGACTTTGTGTGAACAGTTGTTGACCTACGTTGAAAATCCTGACTTTGGACTCTGTATCAGCGAGGTAAGGGTGGAAACAGGATAGAAGATTGATTTTTTTTTTTATTTCATCTTTGACAAAGTCATCTTGACTGATGCTCCTCTTGTGAAACCGAGGCAGCAGCATGGGGCGACTCGTACAACTGGCAGATGGTGTGAAGGCCGTTCATGGGACTGGCTCGCATGGCATCTTTGTGGCCTCAAAATACACATTTTTTAACGCAGATACACAATAGTTGAGCTCAGAAAATCAACGTTTAACAAAAGGTGGTGGGAAACCAGAGATTAGATTGTACAATCATCTTTAGGCAAAGTTCAGTAATCGGTCTTAATTTGAATTAAGTACCGATAATTTACGAAAGTTTCTCCAATTAAAATTTACAGGACAATGTTGGACTAAATGGACTAAATAGACTCCGTCACGTGTTAACGAGTCACACTACAGGACTGTTCGCGCTCACTGCAGGAGCATCAGGCTAAATGGACTTGGCACGATGTAACCGAGCGATACAGTTTCAGTTCAACTTTCTGGTTTTGGGGGGGGGGGGTTGCGTTGTATTGTGGGAGCATTTTCTTGTAAATGTTGCCTTTTGCGTGTCAGAACGCAGACCTGTGCCATTACATCTGCGTTGTTGCCAATGCGGTTGATGTAAGATGGAGATTTGAAATGGGAAGCGGTCCTGTTGTCAAGTACTGAAAGCTATGTGAGTGGGGCTTTGTGGTTCACCTCGGATGCAGAAATGACTCTGGTCAAATGGTGTGTGTGTGTTTGTGTGTTTGCAGACTGATCTACAACAGGACCACACACAGCAGCTCGTCGCCGCCAGGTGTGGAAATCCGCGTCCCGGGGTTTGGACGGACCTATTCGGTGGAGTATCTGGACCCAAGCAAACGCAGTGTGGGTGAGTAAAACCAAACGGCTCGCAGTAAGAGCGAGTTGTCCTCACTATCTTGAGGTCTAAATTGACCAAAAGGAATCGGACTCCACTGAAGTGTCGTTCTCCTCTCCTGCATGTCTCCTAGGCATGTATTTCTTCAATATAGTGCAGGCAATGGTCGACTGGGGCTACACCAGAGATGATGACGTGAGAGGAGCTCCCTATGATTGGAGGAAAGCCCCCAGTAAGAAACCAGACACACACACACACATACACACACACACACACACACACACAGAGTCTCTTTGGACATTTAACTGCAAGCGCACACGTAGTATTCGTCTACCTTCTTACTGGTTTTCAGTTCACTTTGTGCCCCATAATGATCTCATGAGTGTATAACATAAGACACTTGGTTCTTTGTCCTTGATACAAGACAGACTGCAAGTAAAATATATCAGCCGGTCTGTAACTGATCTATTACTAGAATGTGAAATATTCATCATCATCATCGTCATCAGCCACACATATTTCAACTGGTCCAGTGCCCTTTGAGCAGTAGTTCCCAAACTTTAACATAATGGATGATGAGGGGCCCATCCCACATGGGTCACACCATCTTGGTTTTGCATTACAATATATAAACTCTGTTTTCTTTCTAAAGTAAGTACATATTTTCACTCCACAGTAGACTATTTTTTTTAATTTTTTTGCAATAAAATTAACTTACTTTCTGTGCAAACAATTTATTTTCAGCAACATATTTAACAGCAGGATCATAATCTTGTGAATATTATAATAGGAATATGTTCAGGGTGGGGTGTTTCAAAGTCTTGTCAATTTTGTGGGATTTGGGGTTTGCACCCCCCTTGTAGCTTCCATCTCAAATCCAGCAAGGAATTAAACAAAGTGTTCCAATAAATTTCTTGAACTTCACTCCTGGGCCAAAGGGGGAATGTAGTTTTCTCATTTTCTTTGTTGTTCTTTTGTCTTACCAGATGAGAATAAGGAGTACTTCTTGGCGCTGCAAAAGATGATTGAGGAGATGGCGCACAAGGCCGGGGGGCCCGTGGTGATCATCGCTCACAGCATGGGAAACCTGTACACCCTGTACTTCCTCAACCAGCAGCCACAGGCCTGGAAAGACCGCTACATCAAAGATTTCATCTCTCTGGGAGCGCCGTGGGGGGGCGTGGCCAAGACCCTCCGTGTCATCATTTCCGGTAAGAGGTGGAGCGGGTCTGATGCGCTTTATGTTTTGTAATAGACAAATCCGGTCGTCACCCAAAAATTCCGAAATGAAACAAAGTTTCACGAGAACTTAAACAATCTCCACAGAAATCAGTCTTCGCTTGTTTTTATGCCTCCGTATTGGAGGCAGGTTGTCTGTCCGCCGGTCCCATCCTTCAGAATGGTCACAGATTTAAAGGATCTGAGGCTACGGAACGTTATCACGCCATGTTCACTCAAGGTCCACTTTTGTT